CAAGTTGTTCCTACCCGTTCCCGTTTTGTGTGGCATTTGCAGGACTTTTTCAGGGTGCCAAGGGGATCCCGGCAAATTTCGACCCGCAAAGTTGTTCCTACCCGTTCCCGTTTTGTGTGATATTTGCGGGACTTTTGCAGGGCGCCAAGGGGATCCCGGCAAATTTCGACCCGCAAAGTTGTTCCTACCCGTTCCCGTGTTGTGTGGTATTTGCGGGACTTTTGCAGGGTGCCAAGGGGATCCCGGCAAATTTCGACCCGCAAAGTTGTTCCTACCCGTTCCCGTTTCGTGTGGTATTTGTAGGACTTTTGCAGGGTGCCAAGGGGATCCCGGCAAATTTCGACCCGCAAAGTTATTCCTACCCGTTCCCGTTTTGTGTGGTATTTGCGGGACTTTTGCAGGGCGCCAAGGGGATCCCGGCAAATTTCGACCCGCCAAGGTGTTCCTACCCATTCCCGTTTTGTGTGGTATTTGCGGGACTTTTGCAGGGTGCCAAGGGGATCCCGGCAAATTTCGACCCGCAAATGTTGTTCCTACCCGTTCCCGTTTTGCGTGGTATTTGCGGGACTTTTCCAGGGTGCCAAGGGGATCCCGGCAAATTTCGACCCGCAAAGTTGTTCCTACCCGTTCCCGTTTTGTGTGGTATTTGCGGGACTTTTGCAGGGTGCCAAGGGGATCCCGGCAAATTTCGACCCGCAAAGTTGTTCCTACCCGTTCCCGTTTTGTGCGGTATTTGCGGGACTTTTGCAGGGTGCCAAGGGGATTCCGGCAAATTTTGAATTTTGGGGGCCCCAGGCCGGCGCGAACCCCCCTTCCTCCCAAACTGGTCTCCCCGGGCCCCCCCCAAACTATTCGAACTATTCGAACTATTCGAAACTATTCGAACTATTCGAACCCCCCTGGTTCGAATAGTTCGAATAGTTCGAATAGTTTGGGGCACCAGCCCTCGCCCCCAAACTATTCGAACTATTCGAACCCCCCTGGTTCGAATAGTTCGAATAGTTCGAATAGTTTGGGGCACCAGCCCTCGCGCCCAAACTATTCGAACTATTCGAACCCCCCTGGTTCGAATAGTACGAATAGTTTCGAATAGTTCGAATAGTTCGAATAGTTTGGGAGCCCGGCCTGGGGCCCCCACACTATTCGAACTATTCGAACCCCCCTTCCTCCCAAACTGGTCCCCCCGGGGACCCCCCAAACTATTCGAACTATTCGAACTATTCGAAGCTATTCGAACTATTCGAACCCCCCTGGTTCGAATAGTTCGAATAGTTCGAATAGTTTGGGGCACCAGCCCTCGCGCCCAAACTATTCGAACTATTCGAACCCCCCTGGTTCGAATAGTTCGAATAGTTTCGAATAGTTCGAATAGTTTAGGGGGCCCGGCCTGGGGCCCCCACACTATTCGAACTATTCGAACCCCCCTTCCTCCCAAACTGGTCCCCCCGGGGACCCCCCAAACTATTCGAACTATTCGAAACTATTCGAACTATTCGAACCCCCCTGGTTCGAATAGTTCGAATAGTTCGAATAGTTTGGGGCACCAGCCCTCGCGCCCAAACTATTCGAACTATTCGAACCCCCCTGGTTCGAATAGTTCGAATAGTTTCGAATAGTTCGAATAGTTCGAATAGTTTGGGGGCCCGGCCTGGGGCCCCCACACTATTCGAACTATTCGAACCCCCTTCCTCCCAAACTGGTCTCCCCGGGGACCCCCCAAACTATTCGAACTATTCGAACTATTCGAAACTATTCGAACTATTCGAACCCCCCTGGTTCGAATAGTTCGAATAGTTCGAATAGTTTGGGGCACCAGCCCTCGCGCCCAAACTATTCGAACTATTCGAACTATTCGAACCAGGGGGGTTCGAATAGTTCGAATAGTTTCGAATAGTTCGAATAGTTCGAATAGTTTGGGGGCCCGGCCTGGGGCCCCCACACTATTCGAACTATTCGAACCCCCTTCCTCCCAAACTGGTCTCCCCGGGCACGCCCCAAACTATTCGAACTATTCGAAACTATTCGAACTACTCGAACCCCCCTGGTTCGAATAGTTCGAATAGTTCGAATAGTTTGGGGCACCAGCCCTCGCGCCCAAACTATTCGAACTATTCGAACCCCCCTGGTTCGAATAGTTCGAATAGTTTCGAATAGTTTAGGGCACCAGGCCGGGCCCCCAAACTATTCGAACTATTCGAACCCCTCTGGTTCGAATAGTTCGAATAGTTTCGAATAGTTCGAATAGTTCGAATAGTTTGGGGGCCCCAGGCCGGGCCCCCAAACTATTCGAACCCATCTGGTTCGAATAGTTCGAATAGTTTGGGGCACCAGGCCATGCCCCCAAACTATTCGAACTATTCGAACCCCTCTGGTTCGAATAGTTCGAATAGTTTAGAATAGTTCGAATAGTTCGAATAGTTTGGGGACCAGGCCGGGCCCCCAAACCATTCAAACTATTCGAACCCCCGTTTGAAAGTTCAGAAAAGACGCATGGTCACATAATGCAGGAAGGTTCCTCGTACATATATATATATATCTCTCTCTCTCTTTATATATATATATATATGGTACCCCCCCCCAGTTATCCACACCTTTTCTGCTTGTTTTGTGCTTTTCTTGTTCTTGCATGCGTGCTTTTGTTTTTCGCGTGATTTGCTTTCTTTGTCCCAAATGTGTTGATTTTTATTTTCTTTCTTTCTTTATATCTGGTTGCTTATCTGTATGCTCATATTGCACCAGTAGAGACCGGTACAAACCGGTACAAGTCGGTACAAGTTGTACCGGCCCCTGGAACCAAGAACCAAGAACCAAGATTGCAGGGAGGTCTTGCCCTGCAATCTTGGTTCTTGGTTCTTGGTTCCATGGGGCCGGTACAACTTGTACCGATTTGTATGGGTTTGTACCGGTCTCTACATTGTCGAAACATACGGGCCGGTACAAACCGGTACAAATCGGTACAAGTTGTAGCGGCCCCATAGAACCAAGAACCAAGAACCAAGATTGCAGAGCAAGACCTCCCTGCAATCTTGGTTGTTGGTTCTTGGTTCCAGGGGTGGGGCCGGTACAACTTGTACCGTTTTGTACCGGCTTGTACCGGCCCGTGTGTCTCGACAAGTTTAAGGATTTCAAGGGCTTTAGAAAATTTAAATTGGCCGGGCCTTTTCCCAAAATACCTATTTTGTTTCCAAATTTCAAGGATTTAAGGACTTTACGGATTTTGAAAATTCAAACGGGCCGGGCCTTTCCCATAATAATTTAACTTTTTTCAAGATTTTACGGATTTACATTCCTTAAAAACCTTAAAATTTTGAAAGCCAGAGGCCTTTCAACATCTTAAGGAGCTTGAAGGTTTTAAAGACTTGAAGGGTCCTTTTAAATCCCTTAAAATCCTTAAAATTTTGAAAGGGGAAACAGAACCATCAAATAGTGGGCAAAGGTGAGTCGTACACCTAAAAGGTTCTAATCCTATAGGTAATGCCTCCACCTTAAACCTTGAACCCTCTAGGCCTATAGGGTTTAAACCCTATAGTCCCTATTTAAAACTTTTGAGGCTTTTAGAGCCCCATAGGCTTTCAGGGTTCTGACCCTAAAGGGCTTAGGATTTAGATTTACATGCCTAAGCCGTAAGCCCTTATGGTTTAAACTCTATGTGCTTATAAACCTTGAAGACCCCTAAACCTTTGAACCCGATACCTGCTTATTCTTTGCATTTCCACCAAGCCGTAAAAACAGAGGCATAACCATATGGGATTTTAGGTTTAGGGATTTACGCCTCAAGCCTTATAGGGTTTTTCAGGTTCTAATCCTATAGGCAATGCTTATTTCCCTCTCTCATAGGCGCCTTTTGATCGAATAGGATAGCCTTCGTTATGCCCCCCGAAACTATGGGGCACCTTTGAGAGGGGAAAAACCTTCAATCAGAGCTGCTGGGCGCCCTAATCCCATAGGCCATAGGCAAATTCAATGTGCAAAAATCGAGCTTTTCTGGGAGAACCTCCGGCGAGGTTTGGACGTGTTGATTCTTGGACTTGTGTAGTTAAGTTTGCCTAGGGCACAAGTTTTGAGCCAAAAGGCGTTTTCTTGCCCGATGTTTTGTCTAAATGTATGCCTATGTTGCAAAAATTGCGATTTGGTTGAACTTGTGTTGCTTTGGGCTATCCTGGGCAAATTAAAATAGTTGCACAAGCCAAAACATCCGAACATCCGAAACAGAAACCACAAAACAAATACATAAACCGTAGCCGGAACTTTGTTTTGGATTCCCAGGGACAAGCCCAAGCGTGGCGCACAAAGAGATGCATTCGGCAAAACAAAGGGCGCACACATTTTAGCAAAAACAACAGTTTGGTTGCCAAATGTGTGTTTGTTCTAGATGTTTCCAAGGCACTTGCGCAAGTCCAAAAGCCCAAAGACACAAAACCTCGCCGGAGGTTCTCCCTAAACCCTAAACCCTAAACCCTAAACCCTAAACCCTCAACCCTAAACCCTAGACCCTAGACCCTAAACCCTACACCCTAAACCCTAAACCCTAAACCCTACCAAGAAAACGTTAAGTTGTTGGACTTGCGAGGTATTTTTTCACATATCACCTTCGAGGTCGGCCCGTCGCAGGGTGAGAATGTGTGTATGTATAATGTACAACCTAAGCTCCTAAACGCTCAGCCATAAACCCTAAACCCGACTCTAGACCCTAGACCCTAGACCCTCGACCCTCGACCCTCGACCCTAGACCCTAGACCCTAGACCCTAGACCCTAAACCCGAACCCTAAAACTGTATGAAACCTTTGGTTGTGCAACATATAGGGGGATGGTTGATCGGCGTACCTTGGGATGTTTCTCCCTTATACTAACAGCTCCTTAATAGGGAGTATAATAGGGGGCTACAAAAATCCCTATTGAGGACCTGTTAGCATCAGGGGGAACATCCCTAAACCCTAAACCCTAAACAAGGATCATCCCAAGGTGTACCTAGCAAAGTTCTTGGGTTTTTGCAGCCGAGGACTGTGCACGCGGCGTGCCCTGGATGGCAAGTTAAGTGCGCATGGCAAACCCTAAACCCTAAACCCTAGACCCTAAACCCTAAACCCTAACTACCCTAACGACCCTAACTACCCGAAACACCTCAACTAGGTGGGGGCCTGTGGTTCCCCAGACCAGTGCCAGGTAGACTTCTTGATGGATATTGGGGCTTTAGGGCTTAGTGCGTTCTTGGTTTAGGGTTTAGGGTTTGGGGTTTGGGGTTTGGGGTTTGGGGTTTAGGGTTTAGGGTTTGGGGTTAGTTGGGGCATTTGCTGCAGCTCAAGGTTTGAGCGTTTTCGGGGGAATTGGGGTTGCTCCAAGGGCTTCGGGGGCTTAGGGTTCCCCACCTCAAACCCTAAACCCTGAACCCTAAACCCCAAACCCCAAACCCCAAACCCCAAACCCCAAACCCCAAACCCCAAACCCCAAACCCTAAACCCTCAACCCTCAACCCTAAACCCTAAACCCTAAACCCTAAACCCTAAACCCTAAACCCTAAACCCTAAACCCTAAACCCTAAACCCTAAACCCTAAACCCTAAACCCTAAACCCTAAACCCTAAACCAAACTTCCTGCTAGACACCAAAACACGGAGGCATGGCTTGCTCATGCAGCGCGCCGCAGAGGTCGTATCTTGGGACCTCATATTTAGGGTTTAGGGTTTAGGGTTTAGGGTTTAGGGTTTAGGGTTCAGGGTTTTCAGGGTTTTCAGGGTTTTCAGGGTTTTCAGGGTTTTCAGGGTTTTCAGGGTCTGGGGTTTCGGGTTCTTCGGGCTTCTAGGCCCTATAAATCTTGAGAGCGTAGGGTTTTCTTTAAATTAGAGCGGGTGGGGGGTGGGGGAGGAGGTTCTGAGCATTCTGTGGATTTTCTTTGGAGGGCTCAGGGGATTCGCATGTAGGTCACAACTTGCACCAAAGGCTTGCAAAGGAACTGAGGCGCTTAGAATCTCGGGGCTGAGGGAGTCGGATGGGCGCCTGGAATGGCCCATGCAAGCGGGTGAGGATAACGCCCCCTTTTTTGGGTTTGGGGCAGGGGGGGGGGGGGGGCAGAACCATAATTTTGCTAAGTGACCTCATGTTGCAAGGGGTCAGCTAGGGTGGCTGGAGCGGGACTTCTCAGCTACAAGATCGCTTTATAGGGTGCGCGCCCCTGAGCTGAAGCTGAGCATGCACATCGACTGCACACCCTAAAGCCCATAAACCCCAAACCCCAAACCCCAAACCCCAAACCCCAAACCCCAAACCCCAAACCCCAAACCCCAAACCCCAAACCCCAAACCCTACATAGCCCTAAACCCTAAACCCTAAACCCTCAATCCTCAACCCAAGGTACCTCAGGAGCAGCGCGCCGCATGAGTTGCGGAAGTGCAGGGTTCAGGCTCCGGGCTTCTGGCTCCTGGGGTATTCCTACTCTTTGCCTCAGAACCAAGAGGGTGTAGAGGGTAGGGTTTAGGATTTAGGGGGTAGGGTTTAGGGTTTAGGGTTTAGGGGTTAGGTTTTAGGGATGTTTAGGGTGTAGGGTTTAGGGTTTAGGGTGTAGTGTTGAGGGCTTAAACCCTCCTTCTGCTCGTATAAGGGCAGTATAGGGATGATTGTTTTTAGTCTGTTGGCAGGGTGCTTCTAAGCAAACCCAACATCACAAGCCCAAAACCAGACTCAGAATGTTTGGATTACTCCATCTGCCTAGGGATGGTGTGAAGATGGGGAGTGTCCCTCCTGCTCTGCCCTTAGTGCCACTCTTAGGCTCGAAGAGAGTTCGCGAGAGTGCAGAGAAAAAAAAGGCGAAGAGGCTGCAGCAGTTGCCTTCCCAAAGCTGGACTTGTCTCACTGTTCTCACTGTGTTTCCGAATTATTGCTATTGTCTTGCTGTTCTTTGCAAGTAACTACGATTCATGATGACTTCTGCTTCTGCGAGTATTTGTTCTGGTCATGCATGTGTTCATGGCAGCAACTTTGGCGGGCCCGCTATTCTTCCGTTGCGACTGCCCCACGATTCCGTTGAGGAAGCTGAGGAAGGGGAGAAGTCTCAAAGAGCCCAATACCCGGTCATCAAGGATATACCTTATAAAATCCTATTCAGGATCCCCTGTATTCCTGAAAAATTAACCCTAAACCCTAAACCCTAAACCCTAAACCCTAAACCCTAAACCCTGAAACCCTGACGGGTATTGGGCTCTTTGGGTCTCAGGAGGGCAGCGTGCAAGGCGAACAAGAGGGAGGAAGGATTGCGAGAGTTGCCGTTGACTGCCATGCGCTTGTTTCCTTATAAGAGCGTGCTGGATGTGTCCGGCCTCAACATCCCAGTGCTGACTTTTCACGTTTTCGTCCTTGGTCTTCACAAAAACAGCACTTTCGAAACAGCGGCGTGCGCATCAACGAGCTCGTGTAGGCACCACACGCCGCAGTTCGAGCAGCTGCTGCCCAGCCGTGGCCGGAAACGTTGCTTGGCTGTCACGTGGGTGATATGCTGCCTCTCTCCCGGTGCCTGCGCAGTGCACTGGCCCATTGGTGGACACGGCCCCGTCCCTTCCTCGTCTGCGCTGCGCGAAAGCGGCTCATCCTTCAGTCGGATGGCTTCCCAAAGAGCCCAATACCCCTTGGTTTTTGTTCCTTAACTAAGGGGTATTGGGCTCTTTGGGTTCTGCCTGGTTTCGCCCCCTGACGAATTCCACCTCACCCAGTCGATTCGACGCAGCGAGTGCCACACCCGATTCGGAGACGCGACCCTACGTAGCCTGCATTCAACGCCAGTCCGTCTGCGCAATCAATCTTCTCCAAAGCGCAAGTGGTGATCGCGGGCACAGATGCGTGTGGAGCTGCAAGCACACCAACGCAAGGACGAGATATATATATATATATATATATGTATATATATATATATATACGCATTATGTATATGTACATACATATATATGTATATATATATATACATATATATATATATACGCATGGATTCCAAGGATTGAGCTACGTGAAAGCCGAGAGTGCAAGAACAAAAGCTTGTCGTCGTCTCCGAAGGCCAACGCGCCCCAACGCTTCGCAGCTCGCATTGGGAGAACCCTAAACCCTAAACCCTAAACCCTAAACCCTAAACCCTAAACCCTAAACCCTAAGAGATCTGCACACGAAACGACCGGCTGCCGGACCTGTGCTGTCTCTACCACGGGGACGGTGCGGACTTTGATGCTTACGTGCCGATTTATAAACCCGAAAACCCTGAGCCCCAAACCCTAACCCGACATGCTGCGCCGACTCGGCTGGCGCACCCGCGCACGAAGGACGAAACACAAAATGCTCAAGCGCTGGGGGCTGCCGACTCGAATATGCCTGTCGGTCCAACCGTTTGTACACCTGGAAATTCTTCGACGTATTCTGCCATGGGTCACTGCTACACTGAGGTCTCTCATTGGCTGCTCGAACTGAGGGGGTTACAGGTAATTACCTGTCGTTTGGGAGGCCGGTCCAAATCACGGGAACGCAGGGGACACCAGCGCCGTCAGCTGACAATGCCTTCACGCGAAGGTGTCGCAAAACACAGTGGGAGCAACCGTCATGGCAAACACGTCGACCTGGCTCAGGGTCAAAGCTCGATGAGGAATGTGATGCTGAGGACGCTGCATCGACATCGCTGGTGATCGCTGGTGCACCACATTCAAGCCTGATCGAGTCGAGCCGAGTCGAGGCCTGATGATCCGGTGCAAAGGTTTTACACGCATCCTTCGTGCAGATTCCTGCCCCATGACAGACTTGCATACAGCGGCGACTGATTCCGCATTTTGTTTGCAACTGCTGCTTCCCAATTGGCCTAGCCGGAGTCCAGACAAGTCATCGTCGTGCTACAGCGTCTACCACGATGCTGCCACTTAACCTCCCTTGCGTTAGGCAAGTGGGCAACGCGTCGTCCAAAATTCCAATAGGAAATTGCACCCGGGTTGTGCGAGACCAAGAACAGCTGAGCAACAACGGACCAGCTCAGCCTCCAGGGTGGTACACCAAAATCGGCTCACAAAACAGAAGGGCCGGGAGCCTCCAGCACCAGCACCGCGCTGTCGTCAATTCGAGTGGTGCCGCTGCAGCATATGATTCGCTCCAAGCCTGTGCCCTCCATGCTGCAAGATTTGCACCGCAAAATTAATTGTTTTTTTTGCATGAGGTACCTCGTTTGCCGCGCCGTCAGAACGTTGCCACATTTCAGAAGATGCCAAAATTGTACTCCCGCCGAGGTTGTGGCGACATTGTCAGATAAATGGTCACTTGCAGCTGCGCGTGTGTATGTGGAAGGCTTAAAGAGGGTCCTAGTCGCAACAGGTAATATTGCTCGCAGGACGCCAGGTTTGCCGTCAGCTACGGCTGTAACTTTGGGGTGGGGGTTTGGGGTGGGGGGGAGGGGGGTTAAGAACGTCATTCATATTGCATGCACATGCCCAAAACACTGGTATTTACAGCGTTTTCGTCTCTTTGTACAACATACTGCACAAGGATGTGGAACATAAAATCTGTCACAAGCGTGCGACCATGCTCAAAACACGTCCCACGAAAACGTGAAAGTCCTGAAATTTGGCAAATGCGTTTTCGGAAATGCAAGCCTCCAAAAAGCACAGCTGCAGAGGTTGTCTTGGCAGAACTGCATAAAACCATCGCAAATAACAGTGTTTGCCCCGCGCGCGCGCACATCAGGCAGCCAACCATGTAAATGCTGCCTGACGGCAAACGTGGCGTCAAACAACACCAGGACTTGTTTAAATTCTTGCAAAAACCCATAGCGGCAGCGCAACGCCAAAAAAAACTCCAATAAAATTGACCATCATGCGGTGCCTCCCGTCCCACAAAAAACCAATGGCAAAAACAATGCGCGACGGCAAACCTCACGTCCTGTGCGTAATATTGCAACTGGAAAAATAGCAAAAAATGTGCGAGAAAAAAAACCGGCATTTTTGCGGTGATAACACAGGTGTTATCATCGTGCGAACATGGATGCTCTGGTACCACGGCATTATCATCGCGCAGACATGGACTTTGTTGCCAAGTGCTGTAGCCATTCGCATGCAGGTTTTTTTTTTGCACGCTCGTTTCCTGCACTGGTCCCAGTGAATTAGCCCACAGCCACGAACAACCTACAGATACCTGCGGCAGGCGACTGGCAAAGGGGGGCTGCTCTGCTGAGTCAGCTATGATGTCGCAGACGGACGTTATCATCGCACGGACATGGATGCGCGGGTAACATGGACATGTTCAACGTGCAGACATGGAAGCTCTGGCCATTCGCGCGCAGTGCTAACACGGGGTTCTCATGGGCGGACAACGCGTTGCGCGTGTGAACGCGCTTTTGGCCGGCCGCTTCTTTGCCACGCTTAGCCCAAACATGGCGGGAACGCTATTTTTTTATTGAAGAACGAATTCCCTGAGCAGCGAATTCATGCTTTTCCAAACTACGACTAATATTTTATTTTAGTCCCCTGAAGGGGATCCAATTGCGACGAGGGCGGCGACACAAGAGCCACCGCTGGAGCTCGCGGACGCCGCGGGGCCCAGCCTGCTGCCGCTGAGGGGCCGCATGATGCGGATCTTCAGGGGTTTCAGCCCGGCCCGCCGCGCGCTTTTGCGTTGCCTGTCCCCAGTCCCGCGAATCAGGCGCGCAACGCCCTCCGTGCGGCCGGCTATACGACACGCCCGCGTGGGCGTCTCTCTTTGATGCCTCGGCCGCCCCGCCAGCACGCGGCTGTGTTTTGGAGCCAGGTGACGCCCTACGGGGATGGTTGCCGGCGTGTGCGCGCGATTCCGCATTCTGCCGCTGCGGCGCCTGCGCCTGCCCCTGCCGATCGCCCCGCGCGTGCAGCTGTCGTGGCAGGCATGGCAGGCTTGACTCTTTCGGGGGCCACCGCGCCGCTTGCGCTACCAGCGGCGCGCTCTCCTCGCGCGCGCAGGGCCGTTTGAGCGCACCGTCGCGCGTGTCGCCCGCAACGTCCGGGTCGCCGACATGAACATCGACGTGCCCGTTGCTGACGACAGGGCGCATCGAAGTTGTTGCCGTTCGCAGCTCGCGGCTGACGCCACGCACGCCACGCTCGTCTCCCCGCTCACACGTGCGGGGGAGCCCCACCCACGGGCGGTGCCGCCTGGTGGTGATTGGCGAGGCACCGAAGCCTGAAGCAGCCACCTTCGTGCCCCTCCTGGCCCGCCGCGCCACTCGCGTTCGCCTCCTCCTTGCTCGAGCTCCCCCTTGGGGGCGAAAGCAACCGCGATGATGCCGTGCTTGAGTTGCACGAGGCCCATGTACACCGCATTTTTGACTACTGTCGGCGAGGACAGCTCAACCCTGTTTTGGATGCACCGCAGCTGTATGCAGCTGTCACCTGGGAGATTTGTTCGGGCAGGGAGGCTCCAGCTTTCATTGAGCTCGGTTGGGGGTTTTTAGTCCACGGGCCCCAAAGAACAAGTCTTCCCCTCAAAAGCTTTGTTGTGCTTTCCGACAAGGTCCTGGCCCATGCCCGCTGGGGGACCGCCCCCCGCCCGCCTGAAGCCACTCCACCGGAGCGGACTCTGCGGCGGGGCGGGGTGCAGCCGGTGTGGCGGAGGCGCGTGCGCGCGCGTGAGGATGCGAAGGAACAGCCGAACACCAACCTCGAGCCCGAGCACCACCAAGCGGCATCGCCTGCCGCGGTCAAGCTCAGGGTAAGTTTGCTTGCGCTGGCGCCTGGCCGCCGCACGCACAGCTGGGTTACAGTGCCTGGCACATCCAAGTTCATGGCGGACTTTGCTTTGCGGGGGGCGGTTGGCGATGATTTATTATTTAAATTTGGACTCACCCTCACGACGCTTTGTAATTAAAGCAAGCCTGGATCCGTTCGCTCGGGATTTGGTTACGGCCTCCTGAACATGTTGCTGTGCGAAACACAGCATGCTGCTGCGAGTTGAGGTCCCAATAGCAGCTTTTCAGCTTCATGCGCCAGTTGATGCCCGTCGTGTTGCCTTGCGGGATGCGGTCGAAGGCGTCACTGCCAAGCCCAGGGCAAGCCGAGCAGGAGGTTGCCCTTGGCTCATCTTGGCTCCGCGAAGCGCCGGTGCGCACAGGAGAAACAGGAAACATTCGCGATTTGGCTGCACACATCCTCATCGCGCGGGGTTTCCATCCTAGAACACGTGCCGAGGTGCCTCACAACGGATTGTTGAACACGCATCAGAGCTCCAAAGCTCACTTTCATGTTGTCCCTGGTTCAAACCCGGAGAGGCGGGCTTCGAAAAAAAAATTTGGAGCCTTCGGGTATAATTTTGCCGTGAAGCATGGGCGGAGGGCAGTGGTCGACGCTGCTTATCGTTTCCCACCTCGCCCTGTTTGCGCACTTGTTGCTTTGGCTGGCCAGAAGTGATAAATCCTTGAAGCACCTTCTACACTTTGCGCCAGAAATCGCCTCATCAAGCCCAAACCCTGTGCTCGCCAGAAGCCACAAAAACTCAAACAAAACCCCCCGGCAACTTCACGCAAGGTTCCTCCAGGGCTGCAACATAGGATGCGAAGAGCTCCGCTTGGTGCAGCAAGAGTCGGGGGGCCCTGTGCCCCGACCTCATTAGAGACTTGAGAGTTTCGGGCTATGGGCGCCAAAATCTAAGCCATTGAAAAAAAGAAACATTCTGAACCCGGAACTCGCAATCAGGCAGCCTTTTTCAGAATTTCTTAGCAATTTAGACTCACCAGCTTGGCGGATCCACACAACCCTAAACCCCATAATGCCCCGACAGCCCATCCAGAAGGGCACATGGCGGCACCCCCAAAACCGCTTGGCCGCTTGGCACTCCCAAAAATTTTACATGGTTTAGGGTTCAGGGTTCGGCGTTTAGGGTTTGAGGGTGTGAACATGTGTGAACCCTCTCGTGCTTATGGGGGGGCTCTCTCTTGTGTTTGCGCGGGGGCGGAGGGGAGGGGGGGGTGGGGCATCTCCCAAGATGATCGCCCGATGTGCGCAAGCACGCGTGAACCCGAACCTAAGGTAGGAGGGGGCAACACAACATAGACCTGAGCGGCTACCCTCCCCAAAATTTCCCAAACTCATGCAAAGAGAAAGATCATGTCCCAAAACGAGCACAATACCCCTTAATGATGTTATTGAAGGATCCCAGATCGCTTAAGGCATAGTTTTTATTTAAGGCAAGCCCTAAACCCTAAACCCTGTCATGCGTTTTTGTTTGGTCCAAAGTTTGGCTCAGGTCACTTGTGATCGGGAGCCTTTCGTGATCAACGGCACGCAGTACCTGGCTGCGGCTTCCTGTCCCGGCCCGTTTTCCCTGATTCAAAAGTGGGATGGAGCCTGGGCCAACACCCTAAACCCTAAACCCTCTCTTTCAGAAATAATAGGTATATAATCGATATATATCTATGTATCTCTCCTTGTATAGTTTTTTTTAAAAGATATATTGTTTATTTATTTATTTATTTATTTATTTATTTATTTATTTGTTTATTCATTCATTCATTTATTTTTGTGCTTATTTATTTATTTTCTTATTTTCTTATTTTACTTATTTATTGAGTTAGTTAAACGTTGCTGGGGAATGTTGCCATTTGCAAAAAAACCGTGGCCATTGGCAAAAAAAAAACCATGGCCATTGGCAAACTAAAGTTGCCAAGTTGTTTTTGCCAATGGCCACCAATGTCATTGAGGCTGGTCGCCAAAATGGGTTTTTCGCACCAATTCGCAAAAATACCCCCCCCCCCCCCCCCCACCCCCCCAACCTTAGGGATTTGCAAAAAAGCCGTGGCCATTGACAACTTTGCCAATGGCCACCGCTTTATTGCCAATGGCCATGGGTTTTAGCAACTTTTCGCCAGTGGCCACGGGGAACACCAAGCGGCCATTGGCCCTCCCACCCCCCTACGCCCCCCACTACCCAGCCCTGTACAGGCGGAAAGGGCCTTTTCTGGCCTGGACCCCCATTCTGGGCTCGAAACCTTTACTCTGGGGCAGATGCGGGCTTTGTCCCTTATTCTTTCTGAACTGGAGTGGCTCGGGTGGGGTGGGGGAAAACAAAACATGAGGTTAACAAAGTTAGGTTTTTGGTCAATGTCTAGCGGGGATTGGCTCGAGCTGGCGAAAACAGGCGATGGCTTGCTTTGGAACTGGTGCCCCGATTGAGTGGTTCGAGGGTAGGGTGGACCGCTCCATGACAGCGTGAGGTTGGGGGACAGGGCTTGAATTAACTCTATATGTCTTAATGTTTTGGGATTCTCTGGGTGGGTGGGTTTTTTCTAGAGTCGAACAGCGGCTCTACTAGAGATTGCTCGACCCGGAGCTGCTGAACCCTAAGCACTAAACCCGAACCTTTCCTTAAGAACACAAAGCCTACTTTTTGGTGGGTTACGGCTAGTTACCATTGCTTTTGGTTCTCTTTAGTGTGTGCCCCCCCCCCACTCTGCCAGAGCTGGTTTTCGCCGTGTTTATACGGTCCACGACTTTTTTTATGGTTTTAATAGGGAGGAGTTTATATAAGTTCAGAAAGTGACAGCGATGCCCGGCCATTGATCTTAAAGGCGCACCCCACGAATTTTCTTGCAACACCCCGGGCGATTTGACTGAATTGCGGACCCCACTCTGCACCCCTAGCAAGTCAGGGTGTCCTGAATTGCCCGGTTTGACTTTGTAGAAGGGGGGCCCCTATCAAAGCAGGTCCACCATTGTAGGGTTCCTAGGGAGCAGAGCTCTTAAGGAAAATCGGACACCCACCCAACCAACATTCACTCCAAGAACCCTAAACCCTAAAACTTCAAGGTTTTCCCGCAACCAAGGAACGAGCTTCAGCGAGACCCAGCGCCTCAACATTGGCTATGCGTTCGCTGTGCGATACTTCGAAATCGGTTCAACACCTTATCTCGTGTTCATACGCGTCCAGGACGATACATCTCCAATTTACCGGTGGCTTGGTAGCCCAGTGGTACCCTTGACCCTGTTTTTGTGTTTTTTTTGTTTTTGCTCTGGGTTCCCTTATAAAGTAAACAGCCAAAAAAGGGTGCCCTTATTGTAATATGGTTGCTGGGCTACCAAGGTGGAATGGTGTCGAATTTGTGGAGTTTCAGTACCTGGCGACCGGCCGCGGCGCATCCGCCTTGGAGGACTTCGTGATTGACGGTGTGGCTAGCCACCTCCAGCAATCCAATTTTCTGCGTTGTTTTGGGGTGTTCGCTTAAACTTATATAATATATATATATATATATATATATATATTTTTTTTTTTATTTATGTATATTTATTTATTTATTTTAATATGGAAGATCCGGTCGTCGCTTTTCGTTTTGTTAAGACCTCAACAGGTGACCTACATTGCAGTGACCAAGACCGCGCACGCTGTGAATGTTTACACATGGAACGGCACCGCCTTCGATGACTTTCAGGTCTTTAGAACCAACTACGACCCCAGAGCAGTGGCCTACTTCGAGGTAGATGGCGAGAAGTGCTTGGGGATTGCTTGCCACGAAGGCGGGGGCATACAAATTCACAGATGGAGCGGCACATCCTTTGGACTTTGGCAAGAGTTGGATGCCTTGTTCGCCGTAGACTTGGCAGCCTTCCACAGCAGCGGCGTGTTTTACCTGGCAGTGGCAGAGCATACGGAGAATACGAGGATGTGCGATATGCAGCGGATCAACCTTAGGCAATGAGCCATTTACACCCCTGAAACATATCCCAAACCGGGAAAACGCTGAACGATAACCGGAAGCTTGTTTTACTGTTTTAGTTTTTTTCTCTCGCGCCATCTCGCGCCTTTTTTCCGCCAGCCGGACAGACAATCACAGTGTTTCCCCAGCGCAAGGATCTATACAAAAAGTGGCTCGGACTTTGTGGTCCTCCAGACCCTTCCGCTCACCTACGCGCACGGTTGCCATGCCTTCGTCGCAAGCGGTGTCCAATACCTGGCCATGGCTACAACCCCTGACGAGTCGAACACCGTGTACGGCTGGACTGGTAGCAGCTCATGGGCTCGAAATGCTTTGAGTGTTGATCCCTACCTGGACGTTTGAAAGCCTACTTAGAGGACTTAGGGGGCCCCCTAAAACCTAAACCCTAAACCAAGGGCAGTGAAAATTGGGGTGTTAAGTACCCATGAACCTCCAAGTAGGTCACCGCGCACCGGACCGGGAGGCCCCATGAATGTGTAACCCCGCCGTGATTCCTGAATCATAGTGGGGTACCCAAAGAGCCCAATGCCCCTTAATTAAGGAACATGCCGTAATTAATAAAGGAATCCTTAATATGACTTAAGGTATATTCCTTAATTAAGGGGTCTTGGGGGCTCTGTGGGGAACATCTTACATCTCTAAGGGTGACTCACTAAAGGACTATAAAGTCACTTTTCTTTTTTATTATCTCAACAAGGACTATAAATTCACGTTTCTCTTTTTTATTCTCCCAACCGTGAACGAGATTCAGGCTTCGAGCCCAAGTTTTGCACGCCGGGTGCCCGAGCAAATGACTGGTTCTCGTTCGGGGAGACGGACTCCCGTCTGCTCCTGAGCAGGAGCCGCGTTAGGGGTGTTAGGGTTTCTTTCGTTTAGGGGATTAAGGGTTTAGGGGTTTGAGGGTTTAAGGGATTCAGGGCCTCCCTCGAAGGCCTAAGGAAGCCCTACAGCCCTCGAGCGCGGAAACCCTCTGTTGCGAAGTTTGTTGGTTTCTGGCAGCCTTTGTGAAACCTGCAAGGGCTTAGTAAGTAGGCTTGCGGGTTAAAACCGGAAGCCCTGTACTCACTGTGTTGGGAGCGCATGGAGACCTAGACCCTAAACCCTAAACCCTAAACCCTAAACCCTAAACCCTAAACCCTAAACCCATTGTGGGGAAAGGAGCCATGATGGGCCCCAGATCTTTGAAATTCCAGATGCTTCGTGAAGAACCTGTGGCTGCAGTTGGCTTTAGGGTTTAGGGTTTAGGGTTTAGGGTTTAGGGTTTAGGGTTTAGGGTTTAGGGTTTAGGGTGGTAAAGGAAGTCTACTGTCCCACCTTGGCGCCACATCTGAGGAAGAAGTCGTTGCCCCTTTCAGAAACGTGGCGTGCTGTTCCAGAAAGTGAGCCAAGAGGCATATAGGCCGGAATTTGGCATCACATGTTGCCCATGTCTGATCACCTTTTCCTTTGTACGGCGGTTCTTCCGGACTTAGAGCATGTGAGGAGGACTTGCCAAGCAACCCTTCGACAGCCAGACAAGCCCCCCCTGAAGATGTTAAACCAGAGCTGATGAGCTGCTGAGCACGTGAAAGTTAAAATTGGGGCCACGTCCCCCCCGCCCCCCCCCCCAGGGCTTCGGGCTTCGGGATGTTTAGGGATTGGGGTTTGGGGACGACATGTGCACACTTCAGAGAGCCCTGGCACAAAAAGGGTTTAGGCTTTCGGGCTTAGGGTTTACGATTGGCCTGGGCCGTCGATTCGCCAGGCCCCTGTACATCGTTTGGGTATCGCCCCACACCAGAATCCCTTTTCATGTGAGCTGTATACCAGATTTTGTACTTGACTCTACATGCCTGATTCCAGACAACTTCTTTCGTGAGGGGCTGAGGGTCTTCAGTGAGGGGTACCCCAGATTCGGGAGAAAGTGGCACCATGTTTTTCCAGATTTTGGAGTTTCTAAGGGCCCAGGGTTCGTCAAGGTCCCAGGTTTTATGTCAAAGAGGTGTTTCAAAGGCGCTTCGGGAGTCCTTTGAAGAGGCCCCACGGAGGTCCCGGGGAGGTCCGGAGAGGTTTTCCAGCCCTCGAAGCCCCCTCCGCCCCGTGGTCGGTTTAGGGTTAGGGGTTTCTGGGTTTTTTGGGGTTTTGGGGGTTTTTGGGGTTTTTGGGTTTTTTGGGGTTTGTGTGGGGATTAGGTTGGAGGGCCTGAAAAGGTTGGCTTTCCAATATGGGCTTCCCCGGGGGGCTACAAGAACCCTCGAAGGGTTGATGGATCCGTTTACCTTAATAGGGACTCTATCGTAGTATAGGGAACACGAGAAGGAACCCTAGCATCTAGTGGGTTTGATTCCTGCGTCGCATGTTCGCCTCGCAACCCTAAACCCTAAAACCCTAAACCTCTAAACCCCTCGGCACCATGCCGCGAGTCCACGGGATCCATGAACGCGTCGATGTGGGCAAGCGGGGCCTCATCTCTAACAGGACTTGAAGGGTCATGGGTCGTCGAAAGTCGGGTTAGAAGTAGGGCAACCATACTATAGAACCTTATTTTGGGCACTTGTAACCCTACATATAACTGCCCATGAGCCTTCAAGGACGTCCCGTACGAAGCTCTGGTGTGTTGATTTGCCTTGGCAGAAGGATGAAGCTTTTTACAGCGCGTCCCCAAAGGCACACACTCAGGTGATCGAGACAAGTATCGCCCTACCACGCGCGAAAAGCACATGAGAATCGGCCCAAACCTTGACGAATCCCAGGCGCGAATTTAAGAGGGAGCGGCTTTACGCGCACGCGCTGGGCACTTGACCCTAAACCCCAAAGCCTAAACTGAGTTGCATCTGTCACATCTGACCAACTGGACCTCGGGAATGTTTTCTGGCAGAGGGGCGGTCCTTAGTAGGCTCCTACATACTCGTACACTCGAAATCAAGCACGTTTTTGCGCGTCCTGGATCCCCAGGCACGTCGCCTCTGCAAATTTTGCTGTGCGCAGATGACGTTGTCAAGATGAGGGATGGCCCATGATGGCCCTGCAGATTTAGGACGGGCCCTTGGCGGCTGTTGAAGCACCGCAGGTCCAGAAATCAGCTGCTTTATGTGTCGTGGTCGTGGGCCCTCACGAGGTTGGTGTTATGTGGGAAGGTCGGTGGCATCGGTGGACTTGGGTACCTGTAACGAATACCTGGGTTGCCCACCATAGAAGGCAGCAAAACAGCTTTGTTTTCGAAATTCGTGCAGTTGGAGCTGCTGGAGCTTCTTTGAAGTGACTAGGAGATGCCCAGCATCGAATCGTTGATTCAGGCATACCTAGTGATCACTTCGAGCAGGCTTGTGGGGGCGTTCCGTGCCAGTTCCAGCACCTTCACACAACACCCAGACGTGCGCCTGAACCCCAAAACCCCTAAACACCTAAACCCTAATTCCAAACCCCTAAACCCCTAAACCCCGAAACCCCCAAACCCCTAAACCCCTAGACCCCTAGACCCCTAAACCCCTAAACCCCTAAACCCCCAAACCCCTAAACCCCTAAACCCCTAAACCCCTAAACCCCTAAACCCCCTAAACCCCCTAAACCCCTAAACCCCCTAAACCCCTAAACCCCTAACCCCAAACCCCTAAACCCCTAAACCCCCAAACCCCTAAACCCCTAAACCCCCAACCCCAAACCCCCAACCCCTAAACCCCCAACCCCCAAACCCCCAAACCCCCAAACCCCTAAAACCCCTAAACCCCTAAACCCCTAAACCCCCAAACCCCAAACCCCTAAACCCCCAAACCCCCTAAAACCCCAACCCCTAAACCCCAAACCCCTAAACCCCCCTAAACCCCTAAACCCCCAAACCCCTAAACCCCTAAACCCCTAAACCCCCAACCCCAAAACCCCTAAACCCCTAAACCCCTAAACCCCCAAACCCCGAAAGCCTCGAAGATTGGAGCTTCCTCATGGCATGGGTCCGAGCCGTACCTTTGGCGTCCTCCTGCCAGTCGCGCCCATTTTGAAGGCCACTTAAGTGCCGGCTGTTGAGTCTGCTTAGGGTTTAGGCTTTAGGGTTTGGGGTTTGGGGTTTAGGCACTTTTGAACTTGCAAGCTTACGAGCTTGTCAAGATCTCAGGAAGTGTCGCTGTTCATCGTGCTTTTGAATTTTGTTATAGGATTTTTCAACTTACAGCCATGGAGAACTTGACCTTTTTGGTCACGCTCTTGTGTGGCTACGCCTCTTTGGCGTGGTCTCTTCGCCTACCCAACGTGCTGGACGCCTGGCAGCGGTTCTTCACAAGCTGCTTGTCCCCTCCAGACGATGATGCCGTGAAGTCACGGCTGCAAGAGTACCGCCAGAATCACATGCCGGACTGGGTGCCGATTTTCACCAAAACCGGCGAAATCTACTTGGTGGTTTGGACCCTGCTGCGCCTGAGCTTTCCTGCGGCCTGGACGAAGCCTGCATGGCAAGACCTGCACATGCCGGGGCTTGGGGAAAGTTGGGGACCGGTGTTCGCCCAATTGCATTCCGGCATTCCCTCGTACCCCTCCTGGAGACGCCCTAAATACCCTAAACCCTAAACCAAGAACATACACTGTAGCGAACTGCCCACAATCACGGACCCAACAGCAGGTGATCCTGGAAGGTCAGTCATACAACCCAAAATCCCAAACCCTTAATTAAAGCAAAACCTTGATGCCAACCCCGAATACACAAACCTTTAACAAGGTTTTAGGGTTTAGGGTTTAGGGTTTCCCTGAGCCCTGAACCCTAAACCCTAAACCCCAAACCCATCAGGTGGAGCCTTGTTATTGCTTTGGTGGGTTTGCGATGGTCGTGCCACCCTTCCGCGAACACATCCTTGTGGCAGCGAAGGCCCATGTTGGCTTAGGGTTTAGGGTTTAGGGTTTCTATAGGGTTCAGGGTTTGAAAACATGAGAAATTTGTTTGGCTTAGGGTTGGGATGTTACAGCTTACACTAACAGTCCCTAGTAGGGATTATAATCGTGGGGGGAACCCCTATCTGATTTTCCGGAGCAAGATGGCTCGCCTGCTAGAGATGGTCGAACATGAAGATCGAAAAGAGTGTTCTGTGGGAGCATGAAGGACATACAAGGACAGTAGGGGTTTAGGGTTTAGGGTTTAGGGTTTAGGGTTTAGGGTTTAGGGTTTAGGGTTTAGGGTTCCCAAGATCCTGTAGTCCCTGAAAAGATCCCAGCAAGACTTCGAAGGATCTCACCATGCCCCTCTGAAAAACAAGGCGACGCCAAAAAGAAGCGTCATGCCGATGGATTCGATTCGCCGTTTAAAGGGTTTAGGGTTTGTAGGGTTTGTAGGGTTTAGGGTTTAGGGTTTAGGGTTTAGGGTTTCAGGGCACAAAGGCCCGAATGGACAACCCTCTGATGACTCCAGATCCTGAAAAGGCTTATGTCGACGACCTTTTCCATGGCTTCTATGATGTCCCAAGTTGACGCTTACTTAGCCAATAGTTCAACTTTAAACTTTTTTGGGCTTCCTTATTTAGAAGGAATGACAAAGTTTAAAACCCTACACCCTAAACCCTACACCCTAGAGCTTGTATTCCCTTGGTTCTTGGAGAAGTAAGGACCTGCCCAAGCAACTGGGGCACGTGAATGGGGTGGCCTATGCCGCAACCACATTGTGCCTCAGCCGCAGCCTGCTTATGACATGCTGTCGCCCCATCAATCTTGTCGCCTAGGTCTACCGGGTGCTCTACTGCTATGTGCTTAAGAACCCGCAAAAAAAGACACATTATTCCTTGTTTCTGGCAGTAGAATATAGAACAACTTTGGGGCTGTTAGGCAAGTCGTAGTCTATGCATGCCCTTATTGCTGGACCCTGTTTAGCCTGGGCCCCCTCTATAAAGACAACTTTGCCCTGTTTGGGGGGTGGGGGGGGGGGGGGGGTTGGTTCCCTCTATGAAGACAAGTGTCAAAACCAAAGCTTCAAATCTGAAGCTCCAAACCAAAGTAACGGGATGGTGTACCCTTTCCGGCAGATGCTGGGGCTTCCATACCTGTCTGGTTGTGACGGGTGTGGGTTGGGTGTGGGTTGGTGCGTGCTTTGTGAGACGATCGGAGGAGCACTTGGAGACTTGGAGCGCTGTGCAGAAACCCTGTTTTTCAAGGCGCACGTAAGCCTAAACCCTACACCCTACACCCTGAACCCTGAACCCTAAACCCACTGTTTGGGAAACCCTAAACCCACCCTAAACCCGAAACCCTAAACCCGAAACCCGAAACCCTAAACCCTAAACCCTCTTTTGGCTGGAAGCCGCCGTCTGAGCCTATTGCCTCGAACCAACCAAGGAGGCGAGGCTATTTAAATCCAAACCTTAAGAGCTCAAAGCCTGCGACTTTGTTGTAGCCCTAAACCCGAAACCCTGCGCCCTAAACCCTTATTGCGAAACCCCCTTGTAGGGGCCTGTGGGTGGCCTACAAAAAACTAGTGGTTTTGGGCCCTTAATGAAGAGCTTCAGATTTCAAGGGCCTGGCCTTCGGCCAAGACCTTCAAAATCCTCTCCCTTGCCTTAAGATTCACAAAGCCCACTGAGCTCAAGATTTCAGGAGAGAACTGGCCTTTGTATCCAAGACGCAAGATTCAAGACTCAAAGGCCTTCCTAAACCTTAAACCCTAAACCCCAAAATTATGAGCCAAGCTCTCGAAATCTTTAGCGCAGTGGGCTTCGGATTTTCAAGAAGGGCAAGGGAGCCTTGGATGGGGCGTTGGAGGATTCGGGGTTTGGGGTTTAGGGTTTGGGAATTCCCTTCAAGTCCTAAGCCCAGGGCTTTGGCCTTCAAAGGCCTGGGTTGCTTTCAAGACACCCTGACCGCTAACACCTAAACCCTAAGCTTCCTAAAACCCGAAACCCTAACCCCAAACCCTAAACCCTAAACCCTAAACCCTAAACCCTAAACCCTAAACCCTAAACCCTAAACCCTAAACCCTAAACCCTAAACCCTAAACCCTAAACCCTAAACCCTAAACCCCAGCCTCTTGGACTGGATGTCCGCAGCCTGGTCTTGCGCTCCCTGGAAGGTTGCTACAATTTGCTGAGGAACCCCTCCCCCAAAACTTAGTAGTAGAGTAGATAACCTTTAACCTTTTTGGGGGTAATATTTTAACCCCCCTTATAATCCGAAAGGTTAACCTTTAGTTCCCCTAGGTACTGGACAATTAAGAAAACAACAAGTTAAGATGAAATTGAGATAGTCTTTTTCCAAGGGCAATGCAGGGATTCTTGGTCTATGTTTGTTGTTAGGGAAATTATAAGCAAATAGTAGTTGGGCTTAGTTGGGGGACCTCTGTCATTTTGGGCCCCTCTGTTTTGGACGAAGTGAAGGCGGATGACGGGTGGCGGGGGGGCACGAATGACAGGGCGTAGGGAGTGACGGGAGTTAGGGTTTAGGGTTTAGGGTTGTGCTTAAGGATTTTGGGTTTGGTGTATGCCATATATACCATACAACACACGGTGCCGTTTAAAGAGGATCCAAGGCTTCGACGAGAAGGTTCTGTTTTAATCAAGGCCCCTACACTTCCTGCAGCAAATCCCTAAACCCTAAACCCTAAACTCTAAACCCTAAACCCTAAACCCTAAACCCTGAGGTTCATAGGTGATCCCTGGTTTGGCTTGGGTGCATACATCGCCTGCTGCCCACTTCGATTTCTAGCCTGCGGACACGGCGAAAGCTCCGCGTCCTTCGATGTGATTCTTTACGCCACTTGCTGGAAGAGGGTTTAGGGTTTAGGGTTTAGGGTTTAGGGTTTAGGGTTTAGGGTATAGGGTTTAGGGTTTAGGGTTTAGGGAGTCCAGTTGCAAAAAGGGTTGAGGGTTTAGGGTTCAGGGTTTAGGGTTTATAATTATAGGGTTTAGAGCAGTCTATAGACATTGGAGGCTTGTACCGTCGAGGCTCTCCTGTTAGATACTGTTAACGCCACGCGACCCGCCTCGGCCGGGGCCGGGGTTGCTGTTGCAAAAGCACCTCCTGACAAGAAGCAATGGGTGTTGGCCAAAGCGTAAAGAAATGGGGGTGAATAGGAGGTCAGCAGAAACCGATGTGGCTTAGGGGTATAGGGGGGGAGAGGGGTTGGAAGCGGGAGATCGAAGCCTGTGCGTCGCCAAGCCTCACCTCTACGGTACAACTGCGAAGGGGAGTAGGAGGGGGGGGGGACCTGGTCATTGCCTGAGACTGCTCAGATTCGGCACAGTTCAGAAACTGGAGAAGATTGCTGGGGTGCAGAGCCACTGAGGTAATGAACGATGTCCTAACGTCTTCCTTCATTTTCATCATCTTGCAGCATATGGATTACTTGCTGGCCGTGCTGCTGCGGACGACAGCTGATCTGGAAGATCAGGCAGCACTTGGTGCAAACAAGGGCCTGTAGAAAGAGGACAATGTTGTTTTATGTTGTCGGAGTCCTTGACCCGATGTCAGGTGCAGGAGAAAGAGAAGAGCATGAGGGCGACGGAGGACTTGCTGTCAGCTGCGCGTCGGCTTCTCTCCGTGACCTGTGATTGCTGCGAGCAGCTGACTGACAGTTTCGACATCGACCAGCCGTCCCAAAAGGCGTTGGCATTGCTGCAAATCAAGAACCCAGAGGAGGAGCCACATCTTGAACCTTGCATGTCTTCCTTGCCATTCTTGCAATTCATTTGCGCAGAAGACCGACATCGGTTCCAGGCGTTCATCGCGGCGTCCAATGATGTTCAGGCACCCTCCTCGCTCCACCTCCGCATGCAAACCTGCACCGCCTTGCCTTTCGAGGCACAAGTCTTCCATGTGAACGTGCCGGGAACCTTGTCTCAGCCGCAGCATCTCATTGGCATAAAACTGGCAGCGGCTGAGATGATGAGTATCCCGGAGCACTGTACCGTGGAGACTTCGCCCCTCATTCCAGCAAGCCTCCTGGGACCCCGCAGTGCCCCCAGCCAGCGCAGCCGCCGCTCCGCCTGCTCCAGCAGCGCCAAGAGCTCGAAGACTTCGAAGAGTTCGAAGAGTTCGAAGAGTGAGCCTTCTTTGGAGCGTGAGCCATGCGAGAGCCTCAAGATCGATCGTGTCTCGCTGGCGGTGGACCCGTCAGATGCCTGTGTCGTTTCATCTGTCCATGTGGAGTTCCAGAAGTCCCAACGGCCAAGGTTGATGGCTTGGATCGGCAGCAGAAGCAAATCCGCAGTGGAAGGGCTCGTTCAACACCACTTGAATTGTTGGCATCACGGAGGGAATTCCGCACAGGTTTGCCAGCATGTAAAGCTCAATATTCCAGAAATGCCCAGTGCTTTCACTGCAGGCGAAATGTCAGTAGCCTGGGTTGAAGATTTCGAGGCCGAACACGGTCAAGAATACCCACGCTCCATACAAGTAGCTTTGCGAAGCATCGCTTGCCGCTCGAAAGGGCGTGTACCAACAGACCCGTGACTCAGGACAGCCCTCAAAAAAGGGTCTCAGCTCATGCAATGCAATGTAGACTCACTGCCGTATTCAGTAGCCGGTTGGGAAGGCTACATACTGGGATGGAAGGATAGCTACTGGGACAACTGTGCGTACAGACGGTACAAACTAAACCCTAAACCCTAAACCCTAAACCCTAAACCCTAAACTGCAATTCAGAGAATTTAAGGATGCTAGGTTGGTGAACTTCTGCCGCCTGCGACCGGCGGGAGGGGGGCCACCATCAACTTGCTCACACTGTCCTTAAGGTGGGTTTAGCGGGCGGTTGGGGTTCAGGGTTTAGGGTTTAGGATTTAGGGTTTGGGGTTTATAGGGTTTATAGGGTTTTTGTAGGGCTTTTGTAGGGTTTTTAGGGTTTATGGGGTTTATAGGGTTGACAAGGGTTTATAGGGTTTATAGGGTTCAGGGTCCTTAAGGTGGGTTTAGCAGGCGGTCGCAATACTTGGTCGGCCAGTGGTACCCTTTACCTTTTTTTGGTTATGGGTTCTCTTATGAATAACCAAAACCAAAAATATATAAGTACGATTGAACTCCAAGTACGGGCACTTGACGTCCTAAGCCTCGTCCCTAAAATCCTTGACCTCGACATCTCGGTTGATGTCCAGGGCTTCCACAGCCGTCGCAGTTTGGCACCGATGACCGGAGGTTTTGCACGATATCGCACACAGTTCGCAAGCGTGATGGGAAGAGCATCGTACTCATTACATAGATGTGTTCCTGCCATGAAACTTGTTTTTCGCTCCAGTATTGAGCCGATGATGCTGCAAGAGCAATCCGCCACACCACGCTACATCCTCCCACAGCTGCTGCCGGTCAGAGTTGCGTGATGCCGGCATTGGCGGCTGCGCAGCATTGGCTCAGAAGTGCAGATGCATAGAGTAGGCCTGAGTAGGACGGAGTAGGAGTCTGAAAGAAGAATAATCCTACACTCCAAGCTCTGACATAAACGAAGTGATTTCGAGATGCCGGGTCTTCAAGCCGAGAGTTCTCGTTGTAAAGCCATGGAGAACTTGACATTCATGGTCAGCCTCTTTTGCGGCTACGCCTCTGTGGCGTGGTTTCTTCGCCTACCCAACGTGCTCGACGCCTGGCAGCGGTTCTTCACAAGCTGCTTGTCCCCTCCAGACGATGATGCAATGAAGTCACGGAGGCAAGAGTACCTGCAGAATCACATGCCAGATTGGGTGCCGATTTTCACCAAAAACGGCGAAATCTACTTGGTGGTTTGGACCCTGCTGCGCCTGAGCTTTCCTGGAGCCTGGACGAAGCCTGCATGGCAAGACCTGCACATGCCGGGGGCTTTGGGGAAAGTTGGGGACCGGTGTTCGCCCAGCTGCCTTCAGTTAATTTAGCAAACTGCCCCGCCCCCGCAAGAGGGTAGAACATTTTCGCAGCGCACACGTCTTTTTGTACCGGGGTCATGCATGCACTGCATCAGGTGGAGCATTGTCTTCACCTTGGTGGGTCTAAGAGGGTCATGCCACCCTTCTGCGAGGACGTCATTGTGGCAGCGAAGGCCAATAATATACAAAAACTGCCCTGATGCCAACCCAGCATCAGCATCCCATAGTAGGAGCCTACTTGAAGGTTCATGGGTAGCAGGGCTTCAACGGGCTTCAAGTACCCTAAATAAGGGTTACACGTCTAGTTACCCTACTTGTGACCCTACTTCCTAACTACCCATGAACCTTCAAGTATTCCCACTCGCAGTGCCTGCACACAGCAGGCAGAAGCTCCACGATACCCCATGCTGAGGGAGTCGGTCTGTGAACCCTACTTAGGGTTTAGGGTTTAGGGTTTAGGGTTTAGGGTTTAGGGTTTAGGGTTTAGGGTAGACCCTTTGGAGGCTCGCGTCGACGACATTCGCCATCGCTTCCCTGATGTCTCAAGGCGACGTGCCCAAGCAGCTGGCGCACGTGAGTGGGGTGGCGTATGTCGCACTCACATTGTATCCTGGCGGCCCTAAACCGACAACCCTAAATGCTAAGCCCTGGGCGATTTGTCCTCCCTTCTGTCGATCTGCAACCTTCACGTACATGAAACTATAAGTCGCCTAGGCTGTTTAGACTATAGCTGTGAGGAGCCATGGGTGGCTTTTCAGGTGTAGGGGTGTTGCGTCTTCTTACGAGAGGGTTAGGGCTTAGGGACTCTTGCCACAATGCACCGACGAAAAACAAGGTCCGGTTCTTTTTAGGAGTTGCTACTTGGCTACTTCCTACTGCTGTGTACTAGCATGCTGCATGTTCCCCTTGGGCCTGAGCATAGCACGGAAAAGGCATGACTGCAAACGCGACTGCTCTAACAGACATTGGCGGAGAAGGGAAGTTTCTAGAAACCGCTAGCCGGTGCTGAAGAGCCCTTGATGCAAACCTCGCCCTATACCCTGCACCCTGAGGTTCATAGGTGATCCCTGGTTTGGCGTGGGCGCGTACATCGCCTTTAGCCCACTTCGACTAGTCCTGGCGTCTGGACAAGGCGACACCTCCGCCACCTTCGATTTGATTCTCTACGCTGCCAATCTGGAATTCTAGGATGAACAGTACAACGGAGCTTTATCCCTCTAGCTTCCAAAACTGCGAGGGAGGGTAGTTTGAAAACTTTAAGCCCTAAGCCCTCAACCTTTAAACCTCGAACCCTCAACCTTATAAACCCAAACCCAATCAGAATCAGAACTGGTGGGTGCTGGACCACTAAGGTACAGAACGATGCCATTGTGTGTTTATTCATGTTCATCATGTTGCAGCATATCGATTACTTGCTGGCCGTGCTGCTGCGGACGACAGCTGATCTGGAAGATCAGGCAGCGCTTGGTGCAAACAAGGGCCCGTAGAAAGTGGACAATGTTGTTTTATGTTGTCGGAGTTTCCTTCACCCTCTGTTATTTAGCCTGTTTAAACTTGAGCCGATGTCAGGTGCAGGAGAAAGAGAAGAGCATGAGGGCGACGGAAGACTTGCTGTCAGCTGCGCGTCGGCTTCTTTCCGTGACCTGTGATTGCTGCGAGCAGCTGACTGACAGTTTCGACATCGACCAGCCGTCCCAAAAGGCGTTGGCATTGCTGCAAATCAAGAACCCAGAGGACGAGCCACATCTTGAACCTTGCATGTCTTCCTTGCCATTCTTGCAATTCATTTGCGCAGAAGACCGACATCGGTTCCAGGCGTTCATCGCGGCGTCCAATGATGTTCAGGCACCCTCCTCCCTCCACCTCCGCATGCAAACCTGCACTGCCTTGCCTTTCGAGGCACAAGTCTTCCATGTGAACGTGCCGGGAACCTTGTCTCAGCCGCAGCATCTCATTGGCATAAAACTGGCAGCGGCTGAGATGATGAGTATCCCGGAGCACTGTACCGTGGAGGCTTCGCCCTTCATTCCAGCTAGTCACCCTGGACCCCGCACTGCCCCCAGCCAGCGTAGCCACCGCTCTGCCTGCTCCAGCAGCGCCAAGAGCTCGAAGACTTCGAAGAGTTCGAAGAGCGAGCCTGCATTGGAGCGTGAGACATGGATTCATCGTGTGTCGCTGGCGGTGGACCCATCAGATGCCTGTGTCGTTTCATCCGTCCATGTGGAGTTCCAGAAGTCCCAACGGCCAAGCTTGCTAGCTTGGATCGGCAGCAGAAGCAAGTCTGCAGTGGAAGGGCTTATTCAACACCACTTGAATTGTTGGCATCACGGAGGGAAGTCTGCACAGGTGTGCCAGCATGTAAAGCTCAATATTCCAGACATGCCCAGTGCTTTCACCGCAGGCGAAATGTCAGTAGCCTGGATTGAAGATTTCGAGGCCGAACACGATCAGGAATACCCAAGCTCCATACATGTGGCTTTGGGGAGCATCGCGCTTGCCGCCCGAAAAGGGCGCAACAAGGTCCCCGACTCGTGACAACCTTTGAAAAAGCTCACTTGCCCGCCGTGGCATTCTGCGGCATTCCGCTGAGCAGGTTCCGGTGCATAACATGGTGGCACCATGAGTCAGAAACGATACAACTACCCACAACAGTCAAGAAGTGCTGGATATTGTAGGAGTTAGTGGAAACCCTAAACCCTAAACCCTAAACCCTAAACCCTAAACCGACCCTAAAACCCTCACCCTATTTTACACAACCATGCATCACCCCTGTAGCAAAAACTCCGCTCAAAACCCTCAGCTCGGGAGTCCAACCCCCTTGCCTCACCTTGTGAGTGTTGAAAAGGTTAGGGTTTAGGGTTTAGGGTTTAGGGTATCCTAAACTCTAAACTTGGGATGCTCTCCCTTATACTCACAGTCCTTAATCGGGATGCTAGTACCCCCTATTAATATCCCTAAACCCCAAAACCTCTGGAATTTCTGCTTCCCTGTTGAGTGCGACAGCAGCCAGGCATGGAGTATTGGGGTGCGCATTGCCAGCGAAAAGAGCCCAAAAGCCCGAAACCCGACACCCTAAGCTACGATTTGCTTAAGAACCCCCCCCCCCAAAACAAAAAAAAAAAACTAACACTAATAATCCCTATATTGCCCTTATAAGGAATAATATTTGTGTTTTTTGTGGGTTCTTAAGCAAGTAGTAGTAAGATGCTGAATCAGAAGCTCAGGCTTTAGGCGGACACTTGGTGAGGCGTGGTGGGTGCAGCTTTGGAGACATGGGGGGGGGTTTCCGAGCTAGGGGGCGCCTCCTATTCGGGTCCTGAGTGTTAAGGTTTAGGGTGTAGGGCTCGAGGTTCGATTTTAGGGGGTGCCCTATTTTCGTAAACCCCCACGTATCATCAGCCGGCCGATCCAAATTTCAGCAGGGAAAACTGGCGACTCCGGCCTCTCTCCATGAGCCATGCGCGCTGCATGGGCCTCTGGACTGCGGCTCCTACCAGTTCTGGTGGGCGGGCTCCAAACATCCACGTCTGTGGAGCCCCAGCCGTATGTTGATCAACTATGGGGAGGTTCTCCCTCTATACTACCAGTCCTTATACAGGGATTATCAAAGGGGGGGGGGGGGGTAGTAGAATCCCTATTCAGGACTGTTAGCCGTTAGCATAAGGGGGAACATCCAACCCTAAACCCACAACCCTCAACCCTAAACCCCAAACCCTAAACCCTAAACCCTCCTTGCCAGGTGGCCCTCTCCAGAGGAGCCGGGCTGGACTGGCTCGGCATTAACGGGGGCTTCAGCGAAGACTACAGAGACAGCCAGGGACGGCTCTGGCATCACACCAAGGTCATGGGAAGCAGCCTTGAAGGGTTTGGGTTCAGGGTTCAGGGTTCAGGGTTCAGGGTTCAGGGTTCAGGGTTCAGGGTTCAGGGTTCAGGGTTTAGGGTTTAGGGTTTAGGGTTTAGGGTTTAGGGTTTAGGGTGACACTGGCGCAGGACGCGTGGACGCCTTCCACTTGGGGCGGATGGCTGGGTTCTGAGCCTCGAGATTACACGAATGCCTGGGGCAGTGTCCGGATGAAATGTAAGAACTGGCCGCCGGAATACGATCAGGACTACGAGGCCTCTCTGCTACCGCGTTGCGCACTTGCTTTTGTGAAGTAGGAACCGCAAGGGGGCCCGTATGGACGTAGTAAGAGAAGCAGCGGTAGCCAGGCGCTTCTGCACCACTACAGCATCTTGGTAGCCCAGGTGGTACCCTTTTTCCTTTTTTGGGGGTTCAACGGTTCCTTGTAAAGTAAGCAACCCTTTTAGAAAAAAGTGTTTGGGGTTAAGGGTTTAGGGTTTAGGGTGTAGGGTTATTGTAATATGGTTCCTGGGCTACCAAGGCATTGAAGCTGGCACCAACCAGACCTTCCGCGTGAATTTGCAAGACCCGAAGGAGCCCGTGAGCTACTACACGGTGAAGTACAACTTCTGTGAGAAGCTGGGCAGGTTCAGGGGGACCCTTGCGTCAGGGTTTAGGGTTTAGGGTTTAGGGTTTAGGGTTTAGGGTTTAGGGTTTAGGGTTTAGGGTTTAGGGTTTAGGGTTTAGGGTTTAGGGTTTAGGGTTTAGGGTTTAGGGTTTGGCAGCCCCAGAGGGACCCTTTCTCTAGGGTTTTGGGTCGAGGGTTTAGGGTTTACCGGCAGCCTTACCGGTAAACCCTAAACCCTAAACAGTACCAAGGAAGCAGTGGCATGGAGGTGGAAAGATGGACCTCATGATCAACGGCAAGGTCGTGAAGAAAGATTACACCACCAAGTGCCACCACACCCGCACGGACATCTACCACTTCAAGTGCGTCCCAACCATGGCGGGCATGATCGAGGTCACCATTCAGGGAGATCCAGAAGTAAAGGGAGGACGGGAGTTCATGATGGGAAAGAGGCTTCTTTTGCCCAGAAGTGCATTGCTTAATGCAGCGCGCGGCAGGCTCTTGAACAATCTCAGCTGCAGAACAGTTCCGCGGAATCCCCCTAAACCCTAAACCCTAAACCCTAAACCCTAAACCCTAAACCCTGGCTGCGAGTGTTGTGGAGGACAGGCCCGCTTCTCCACCCTCGAGTTTCAGAAGTCCTCCGAGGGCTGCACCGCTTGTGAAAGCATCTCCTGTGGCAAGGGGCCCCTGGGCTGGGTTTAGGGTTTAGGGTTTAGGGTTTAGGGTTTAGGGTTTAGGGTTTAGGGTTTAGGGTGGAGGGTTTAGGGTGTAGGGTTTAGGGTTTAGGGTGTAGGGTGTAGGGTGTAGGGTTTATGGCCACATGAAGGGCTTCGGTGTCCATGGGAGCTTTAACAGAGCAGTTCCACAGCATACCGCAAGTAGAGAGCATAAAGCGTGTTGCGAGGGTTGATGGATGACGACCCAGAGATGTGATTTGCTAAGAACCCCCCCCAAAAAAAAAACAAAAAAAACGTCTTCCTTCTAAGGGCAATGAAGGGATAAGCAAGTAGGGGCTTCCGAAAGAGTGGCACCCTTTTGGGGGGTCCCTTTAGGGGCGTTCTCTTCCATTTGGGGTATACAAGGGGTACCCCTTCTTTGGGAAAAAGCCAAAGAGTAGAAAGAGGTTCTGCAGTTCCTCCAGCTTCTACGACTACTCCTCGAAGTGCGACTTCGGGAACGAGGAGATGGAGAATGAGTACGCTTTGGAGGAGGCCTATCTCCACACTCCCCCCTCCACGCACCCAGGTGCACACCTAAACCCTATAAACCCTAAACCCCTAAACCCCTTAACCCAAGGCTGTATGCCCCCAATGGGTTTCGGGTTTAGGATTTAGGATTTAATGTTGGGGCTCATTAAGCTATGCACGGAATGTCACCTGCAATCAGCAACCCAAACAAATCCCTGTCTCGAGAGTGCGGCGAAACCCTTGCCCTGTTGGTCCTTTGCAATAACCAGGGTGAACTCAGTTTAGGTTTCTGCGGGTGAAGTCTGCTTAGGTTTTGCTGCTGGGGTTCGGGGCCCCAGAGTCTAGAGTTTGAAAAACGCCAGCCACAGGCAAGGTCAGCGATGCCTTGATTTCAATTCTTGCTCAAAGCTCCTGAAAGGGCCATGGGGTGGGGAAGGCAGCTGCTGTGCGTGTTGGCGGCTGTGATTATAGCTTGTGTTTTTTTTGGATGAGGCCAGGGATGGTAGTCAGGGGGGATGATGCGAGCCTGCAGGATATGAGGCGACGGGAAGTTGTAGCATCCCCTAAAGCCCTAGACCCTGAACCCTATAGACCCCAAACCCTAAACCCTAAACCCTCAACCCTACATGCTTTTCCCTACACTTACACGCTCTCGGTTTGGTTCTATGGGTTGTTGAGCCTTGGGGGCCACCCTGCGGATGATCCTGCGAGGAAAGAAACCCTCTTATGGCAGCCCACGGGTTCCTTTATGAATGTAGGGTTTAGGGTTTAGGATTTAGGGTTTAGGGTTTAGGGTAGCCAACACCAGAAGTTCTCCAGAAGAAAACCCTCATGAGTTTATTGAGATACGTTTGCTGGGCTACGGGGTCCAAACTCCGCCCGTAGGTCCAGACGACCACGCCAGCCTGCGCCTGCGATCCCAACGTCCAGGGTGAGGCAGTGTTCAAATTGAGGGCGTGTAAACAGACTTGGAAAGAGACCCAATTGAAATATGCGAGGCCTTGTAAATAAACATCTGTTCCTTGAGAGGGAAGAGCCTCCCAAGCAGGCACCAGAACTGTGGCCCTCAACACGCTTTCGATCCTCAGCAGGCCTCAAGCACGCCCCTGGACCCGAATTGCAACATACTAAGCCCTGAACGCTCTCAACAACAGCGGGCTTTGGGGTTCTGGATATTTGCATTCCGGACCATTTCGTCCTGAAGGAGGGTTGAATCACTCCGTCTGAGGATTTTGAAAGTGGGGCTGGCAAAACACCGCCCTATACTATATTCGCAAGACACAGGGCTTTTTGGTGGGGTCTATACGTCCGGGATTTTGGCGCACGCATGTGTTTCGGTTCACTTCAAGTAGAGATGGAAGCTCCCCTGACTTCACCGCCCCTGGGAGCACGAGGCCTGCGAGCTGGGGCTGTGCGCTGCGGTGGCCTGCAACGAGCCCATGGGCGGGTCCTGCGTGGACGGGCAGTGCCACTGCATCGAGGGCCACACAGGGACGAACTGCGAGGAGACGGGGGGGCGGAGGGGGGGGGGTGCAGGGACGATGAAGATGTTCAAGCCCCTAAGAAAGACCTGTATGGTTCTTGCAAGTTTATACCATATTGACCCCCCAAAACTCTATTCTGATCATTTTGGCCCCTTTTCTATTTCATCCCGACATGTCCGTGTTGAGTTTCTAGGGGCCCAAACCTTCACACGGGAGGTGCCACCAGACGTGGACCAGTTTGGCTGCTACGCTCGGCATGAGGAGGTGCCACTGTCCGAAACTCCAAAGGGTTTAGGGTTCGGCTGCAATTCCGCAAGTTCCTACAGCACTTGCAGCGAGCTGTTCAACGCGTGCCTAGCAAGAAGCCAGCGCTGGGAGCAATGACACTGACTCCCTGATGCCTCATGCAACCCAAGAAAGTGCTCGAGACCCGAAAACCCTAAGCCCTAAACCCTAGACTCTAAACCCTAAAACACCAACCAAAAAGTAGCTTCGGAAAGCACCTCCAGGTGTCAGACTTCATGACGGTGTCCACTGTCTGCATGCCGGAATTGATCGCTGGACCTGCAAGGCCAGGAAGTGGGGTTGAAATTTAGGGTTTAGGGTTTAGGGTTTAGGAATGCCCAGGGTGTGGAGTTTGGAGTTTAGGGCTGAGGGTTTCATTGGTTTGGCTCGCCAGCCCAGTTGCAAGAAGGGATTCAAAGGGTTCAGGGCTTAATATTTAGAGGACAACGAGGACGGTTGACAAATCTGACAACTTATAATGTCACAGTGCTCGATGCATGTCGATCCGATGAAGCAACCTCGTTACGGCCTTGAAGCCGCCTCGAAAGCCAAATCAGCCGAAACCCGAAACCCTATAAGCACACATCGTTCTGGCCAGCTTGCCCTGACTTGCCACTGGAGCCCGGAATCATAAGGTGTGGAGTCCCAAACTCCTTTCGGTAGCGACTCGGTTACCAAATCTCCCTAAACCCCAGAAACCCTAAAATCCCTAAAATCCTACACCTACCCTACAAAGGGCAGAAATCCCTAAAATCCCTAGAAACCCGAAACCCTAAACCCTAAACCCTAAACCCTAAACCCTAAACCCTGAACCCTGAACCCTAAACCCTAAACCCTAAACCCTAAATCCTGAACCCTGAACCCTGAACCCTACCCTTGAAGGGGCATGAGCCTGAGGAATGGCCACATCTTCCGTGGGCCATCGCCCATGAACGCCGTGGCAGACAAGATGCGGCCCGAGACGGCCTCTTTTCTGCCAAAGGATTCAGGGTTTAGGGTTTAGGGTTTAGGGTTTAGGGTTTAGGGTTTAGGGTTTAGGGTTTAGGGTTTAGGGTGGTGAGTACCTCCTGGGGACCAAACGAACCCTAAAATTGGGGGCCATTTCCCCTGCACTATTATCATTCCGACGAAGGAAAATGAACCATATACACACTTTTTCGGGTTCATCTGGGTTTAGGGTTTAGGGTTTAGGGTTTAGGGTTTAGGGTTTAGGGCCTCAAGGTGCTTGCAGGAGAGTGGCTCCCGAAGATACAGACCAGCAGATCCTACTCTATAGTGATTAACAGGCGATGCCATTGAGTCGCTGGAGGTCCGAAACCCGAAACCCTAAACCCTAAACCCTAAACCCTTCTGCTTGACCTTGGGGCTGAGGTCTACTTCTCCTGGACAGCAGACACCGAGTATGGCAAGCCCGGTGCTGCGGGCAGCGAGGGGCGCGTGTATGCTGCTCTCCTGAGATGAAAAATCAAGGAGTCCAACGTTGCAAACGTCGTGTTGAGTGATACTTTCTTGAGTACTTGAAAACCTGAACCCTCAACCCTACATCCCTAGACCCTACACCCCGAACCCTAAACAATTTGCTGTGTCTGCACCCTCTGCAAGAGATGTCCATGTTCATGCATCCAGCCTGTCGGCCCGATTGGACGCAGTGAAGGAGAATCTACCCAAAGAGCCCAATATCCCTGACATACTTCAGGAAGAGACCTTTTTGTTATAAAGGGATCCTGAATATGATTCGCCCAATACCCCTTACATAATTCAGGAATAGGCCTCTTAGTTTTTTTCAAGGGATCCTGAATCTGATTTAAGGTAAATTCCTCAATTACCGGGGTCTTGGGCCCTTTGGGGTCTATCCCCTATCCCCTAAACCCTAAACCCTAAACCCTAAACCCTAAACCCTAAGCCCTATCCCTTTGCAGCAGAGGCAGGGATGCCCCTTTCGATCCGAAGAGTTTCAGAGAAGCTGGGGGGGCTTGAGAACACCGAAACCTCCATGTTTGTAGGATACCTAAGACTCACCCAAACCCGAAGCCCACCCTAAACCCTAAACCCTAAACCCTAAACCCTAAACCCTAAACCCTAAACCCTAAACCCTAAACCCTAAACCCTAAACCCTAAACCCTAAACCCTAAACCCTAAACCCTAAACCCTAAACCCTAAACCCTAAACCTAGACCCTAAGCCCATACGGGGCTTTCAAATAGGGACCTGCAGCAAAAGTGCATGGGGGGACCCGAGGTCAGCAAGCTCAAGGTTCCCTGGAAGGAGGCAGCGGTCTAGAGTTTTTAGGGTTTAGGGTTTAGGGCTTAGGGCTTAGGGTTTAGGGTTTAGGGTTTAGGGCTTAGGGGTTAGGGCTTAGGGTTTCGGGTTCTGTGTTTAGGGTTTAGGGGTGTTTAGGGTTTAGGGTTTAGGGTTTGGAGGCGGCGGTCTTGGAAGAGAACCTGGCCTTCAGTGGCTTCGTGCGCGCGGGAGGCATCGACATCACGGAGGACGGCGTCGTCGGCACGCTCTGCGCCAAGTACCTTGGGGGAGCAAGGCTATATCCCCCTGTTGTTTATATAAAGGTATCAACAATACTATTATTATTAAGGTTCTGAGGGGAGTATAGCAGGGGCCCTAACAGGGTTTTGGGTTCATATGCCCTGACAGTGGTTATATAATAGTAGTCAGGGGGTATATACCGGGACCCTCTAAGGGTTTGTGCTTCAATAACAGGGACTATGGCATTGTAGTATGGGGCTAAACCCTAGAAGGGTTTTTATCCATTTGCCTTGATAACGGGTTTTCGTGGTATGGGGGTATATCAGGCTTCGGCTTCATAATTTGGTCCCCAAGGTACTGGCACCCCTGGGTGGAGAACACGGGGAGCAGCGTCAGCAACGCCGCCATGGTCCTGGCGGTCTGCGAGGTGAACGGGACGACCATGAGGCAGCAAAGGATGCCGTGGCAGATTGGCAAGCAGTACCAAGCAGAGGCCACCGCCCCCAACACGGGGATTTGGGGTAGCTTCCCCTTGTCTGCCTGGTTCGCCCAACGCTCCGCGGGCTACGGCTATCTCGTCTACTCGCCCGCGCACCAGCTGTGGACTGCCTGGTACGGGGCCACAGTGGGATCCCACACGGGCTTTGCTATGCACACCTACCACAAAGATGCGCCCACAGTCAGCGAGGAGGAGTACACTGAGTACGCCTACCCCGTGCCAAGGGACCAGGTGGAGCCACGCCAGGAGGCTTCAGGGCCTTGGAAGGACCACCACCGGACTGGTACAGGCGATCACCAAGCCTCGGCGGCCATGCGCTACCATCCAAGGCTGAAGGACATCGGCCTCCAGAAGCACACCCATGGCCCCGTCTACATGCAGCAGTACGGTCTGGCCCAGGATGGTTCCGGTCAACCCCCCGCGGGCGCCTTTGCACCCCCAGGCCACAAGACGGGGCGCCTGGAGCTGGTGGTGGGCAACGAGACAGGGCTGCAGGCCAACACACTGAGGCCCTGTGGCGAGGACTGGCTGGTTGCGATCATCGCCGACACCGGCAACGTTTGCGCCAAGGTGACCAAGCTTGGGGAGGTCGCACTGTGGCGAGTCATCGAGGCCTCGGTGGGCAAGATGCCCTGCGGCTCCAACGGCGGGAACTGTGGCGACCAGGCCCCGGGGCGGATGCTGCGCCTGGCCAACTTGGGCACCCCGGAACACGAGGCTTCTGCGCGCTGCGGCCCAGACGAGCGCTTCCTCCTGGGCTTCGAGAAAGAAGACCGGTTCCTCTCGCCACGTTTTGCCTTGCTTTTGCTTTCAGGTTCCTGCAGGTTCTCCATGTCTCCCAGACTTGCCACTGACCTAAACCCTAAACCCCTAAACCCCTAAACCCTAAACTTTAAACTGAGCACTTGAGAATTCCTTGGGTTGTCAGGTCGAGGTGGCTGGTCGAGCTGGACGGGGATTGCAACGAAGTCTCGGACAGGATGGATGTCACCCAGCACACCCACTGGCCACTATATCAGGACTGGACAACTACAGCCCAGGGCGCCGTCGTGCTTCTTGCCTTCAATTTTGTATCTTGAATAGATAAATACAAATACATAAGAAGTACATGAATGTATATATATATATATATATATACGCAGACATCATAGTTCATTGCGAGAGCCCAGGGGGTCCGCTAATTGATGTTGCCCCACTTGCCCCACTTGCCCCACTTGCCTTTCCAGAAGAGCTAATTGATGTTGCCCCACTTGCCCCACTTGCCCCACTTGGTGGCCCGGAAACGCTAATTGATGTTGCCCCACTTGCCCCACTTGCCCCACTTGCCCCACTTGCCCCACTTGCCTCAGGAGTAATCCCTGCTGCCTGGGTAACTGGGGCAAGTGGGGCAAGTGGGGCAAGTGGGGCAAGTGGGGCAAGCGCCCCCCCCCCCCCTCGCCTCGCCGCGCCACAAGTCTGCCTCAAATCAGGCTGCGTTTGAGGCAGACTTATGGTTGTAGGGCAGGCCCTAGCCAAGTAGAACCTTGAGTGCTGTTGGACCCTAAAATGACCCTAAAATGACCAACCTAGCCACACGTCTGCCTCAAATCGGGCTGCATTCAAGGCAGACCTGTGGCTGGGGCTGGTTGGGGGCAGACCCTAGCCAAGTAGAACCTCGAGTGCTATTGGACTCGGACAGACCCTAAAGTAACCAACCAGCCACAAGTCTGCCTCAAATCTCGCTGCAATTGAGGCAGACTTGTGGCTGGGACTCGTTGAGGGCATACCCTTGCCATGTAAAAAACCTCAAGTGCTATTGGACTCGGACAGACCCTAAAATGATCTGGGGCAAGTAGGGCAAGTGGGGCAAGTGAGGCAAGTGGGGCAAGCGCCCCCCCCCCCTCCCCCCACCCCTTGGCCTCGCCGCGCCACAAGTCTGCCTCAAATCCGGCTGCGTTTGAGGCAGACTTATGGTTGGAGGGCAGGCCCTAGCCAAGTAGAACCTTGAGTGCTATTGGACCCTAAAATGACCCTAAAATGACCAACCTATAGCCACAAGTCTGCCTCAAATCGGGCTGCATTCAAGGCAGACCTGTGGCTCAAATCGAGCTGAAATTGAGGCAGACTTATGGGTGGGGCTTGTTGGGGGCAGACCCTAGCCAACAAGTCTGCCTCAAATGCAGCCAATACTTGGAGCTGTGCCGGGGTCTCTTCGATGCTCAGGGGACCGGGAAGGTTCGCCACATTGGTGCTGCTCGGAAGCACCAAGACTTCCTTGTCCCGTGGAAGGGAAGGACGGGGAGGGGAGGAGGATCAGGAAGGGTGGGGGGGGCGGGGGGGGAGTGGGGGGGGGGGAGGTGGGGGGAACACGATCAAGAGTAGGAAACCGGCACGACAAGTCTGCCTCAAACGCAGCCGGATTTGAGGCAGACTTGTCAGGCAACACAGGGGGGGATTTTAAGGGGAAGGGCGGGGGGGGGAGGGGGGAAGGAAGGGAAAACGCAACATGAAAGGGGCAACAAGATTTGAGGCACTCAGGCCATGGGGGGGGGGGGGGGGGGGGGGGGGGGGGGGGGGGGGGGGGCGGGGGGGGGGTGCCCCACTTGCCCCCACTTGCCCCCACTTGCCCCACTTGCCCCACTTGCCCCACTTGCCCCACTTGCCCCACTTGCCGCGCTTGCCGCGCTTGCCCCGCTTGCCCCACGCCCCACTTGCAGGGTGGGCTGGGGTAGGAGGGGGGCGAGTGGGCAAGTGGGGCAAGTGGGGCAAGCGGGGCAAGTGGCAGAAATCACTTAGCGGTTAAGGCAGGGCAAGTGGGGCAAGTGGGGCAAAGTGGTTTTCGGTAAGGGAGCACAGCAATTGGGGCAAGCGGGGCAAGTGGCAGAAATCACTTAGCGGTCCCCGTTTGCACGTGCACTGTCATAGTTTTTTTGTGTGGTTCTTTTGTGGGAGGGGGGTGCAGAAGGTTTTTGCGTTGGTCTGCGTCTGGAATTGCATGTTTTAGTTAGTACATGAACATGACCTTTCATTTGACCTCGCGCATGTCCGAGCATCTGCCCTAAACCCTAAACCCTAAACCCTAAACCCTAAACCAGGTGGGTCTCCAGCTGGCACACGGACCCGGATGGGGACTTTGGTCCTCCTGGGAGCCCGAACGGCGTGTGGCCCTATAATCCCAAGCCGCAGTCGGAAGAGGCGGAGCACCTCTTTGGCCTCACCCCGGGAGCTATGAATGCTGCAAAGGTCACAGCCCAGCGCTTAGCTGTACTCAGCTGAGGGATGTGAAGAGTCATGCAACATATCGTTTTTGCAAAGACCATTGCCGAGAGATGTGTGTGCTGAGGTGTACTATCCGAGACACCTGCCATCTACTTCGGCAACCACCACCAGAGCGGCGACGACCACAACAATTGCGGCACTTCTGCTATTTTCACACTTGACGTTGTAGAACACAGGGTGCTAGCTTTCGGTCGTCGGCGGCACCTCGGCAGGTGACGAGTTCGGCGTCCTGCTGCATGGCCGCCACAGTTTCTTTTAGCGAATGTAGCGCGCGCTTAAGGCAACAACCTCCTCAGTCACCTCGACCACAACTCCCGGCATCCAGGGCTTTCACGGTGAGGGCAACGGCAGCGACCAGGCCTGCCGCGGCGCCCATGTTAATGACAACCGAGCCGACTACTACTCCGTGGTGCCCGCGGCCTCCCTGGAAGTATGCGGCTTGGCTTCAAGAGACTTCAGGGGCAGCTCACGGGTCAAGTGAGGGAGGTAGCTCCTTATGCCTGTGTGCCACTTAAAGCTGTGCTGTTTGTGCTGCTTGTGCTGTTTAAGTGCTGTTTGTGCTGTTTGCTGGCCCTCTTGAGGCCAGCGCGCCTGCATGGCGGAGCCCCTGTGCAGCGGCGTGGAGTACTCCGAGGGCCGCTGCGAGGTGTGGACCAGGGTGGGTGGGATCCGGGCCACCCGCGCCCTGGCGAACTTCCGCTGCCTGCGCTACGAGCCGCCCGGGGCCTCTGCCTTGCAGCCGCAAGACGGAGCAGGCGGAGTGGACCGCGTCTGCCGCGGGACGAGTGCCACGGACAACTCCCCGTCCTACATGACAGAGATGGAGGCCGACAGCCTCTTTGAGTGCAAGGCCCAAGCATCGCGAGTGTAAAATGCGGGAGCAAAAACTGGTAGCCTTCGCGAATCACGGGTGCTGCAAGCGCAAGTTCTTGAGAATGGAATGCCTGAAATTGCGCTTCGTTGAGGCCCTCTGCCTCAAGGATCCGGAGTGCAAGGGCATCGAGTTCGCGCCACACCTCCGTCGATGCGAGGTGTGGAACCGATATCCGAGCCACACCCAGATGCTAGGTAGGCCCTCTTGAAACATTTCATGTTTTTCCTTACTGGGTTTAACAGGATCATAGGCAGGAATATTTTCGAGAGGGGTTTAGGGTTTAGGGTTTAGGGTTTAGGGTTTTTAGGGGTTTAGGGTTTTTAGGGGTTTAGGAAGGGCCCTCCGAGGATGGTCTCGGGCTTTGTCTGCCTGGCTCGGGCCCCGGAGCCGTTTCAGCCACTGCTGGGCGACGGCAGCGACCAGGCCTGCAGGGGGGCTCACAGCAACGACAACTCCCAGGCTTACTACACCGTGCTCCCGGAACCTTGGGGACGAAATGAACCTACAACTTGGGGGGGGGGGGGTCATATATACCCTATGCTACTATCTCCTATACGACTATGTAATCCCTATTGAGGTATATGAACCCTAAGCCCTTTCAGGGCTCATCTCGTCCCCAAGGAACCGAGCTTGGATGCCTGCATCTGGTCCTGCCTGGCCAACGACGATTGCAAAGGCGTCGAGTTCTCCCGGGGGCGCTGTGAGGTGTGGACCCGGGCCGAGGGTATCCAGGCCACCATTTCACTGAAAGGCTTCACGTGCCTCCGGCGTCCCACGGCGCCTGCCTTGGCGTCGCTGGGATCCAGGCTCCTGGGAAGTGGGAGTCGGCTTTTGTGAGTTCTGTAGAGGTGCCTTGTCTAGTGACCCGGCCTAGTAGAAGCCAATGATTCTTCAAGAGCCCATGATGAGTTGTTCGTGCCGCTTAAACCCTAAGCCCTAAACCCTAAGCCCTAAACCCTTGTAGGAGGAGTGTTTGTCAATCTTGGGATGCGAGCTTCTGCGAGCTGCCAGGAAGTCTCGGCACCAGCGCTTTTTGGGCCCCGCGTTTCTGCAGGCTGGGTCCAGGGTTTAGGGCCTAGGGATGTTTGGGGTTTAGGGATGTTTAAAGATGGTTTAGGGCTTAGGGATGTTTGGGGTTTAGGGCTGGTTTAGGGTTTCGGTTTAACGTTCATGGTTTGGGGTTTATCGGGATGTTAAGAGATGTTTTGGGAGGTTTCGGGTGTACTGGCATGGAGCTTAGCTCCGGGCTCAAAATTTGCCGCCAAAAAGTGCCGAATCTTCCGCCGGCTCCAGGCCGGCTTCTTGATCGACTCAGGCACTTCTTGTTTTTGCACAACCCACTGAGGAGAAAGCTGAAACAAAAAACTGTGAAGATTGAAACACTGAAACACTTGCTTGCGCCTACACAACACTTCGTCGCCCCCGACCAGCCTATCCCTAAACCCTAAACCCTAGACCCTAGACCCTAGACCCTAGACCCTAAACCCTAAACCCTATCCCGCAGGCGAAACTCCAAAGCCATCTTCGGCCACGGCTCGAACTTTGAGGCTGAAGCGAACAGTAGGGTTTAGGGTTTAGGGTTTAGGGTTTAGGTATACAGCATCTAGTACGTCAGTGTCCCACAGTTTTGCTCGTGTCTGTAGGAGCACGCCCAAGCTGTGGTCCAATTCGGAGCGGTCCAATCCGGAGCGCGCGGGAAGTAACACAAGGATTCATCCACATGGTCACAAGTGCCGAACGGATGAAACCCTCACTTGCGCACCGCTCTTGCACCTTCGCCATGCAATGGGAACGGCCTTATACCACCGCTTCCCAGCCCCAAACCCTACAAACCCTAAAAGAACCCTTTAAACCCTAAGCCCTAAACCAGGATTCCCAAAGCTCGAAAGGGCGAAAAGTGCCCCTGCACCATGGAAGGCAAAGCTTTTTTGGGCTGCCGATTTGCATTACAGACCCGCGCGGCAGCCTCCTGTGCAGAGAGCTTCGCTGCTTCCTTGAGGGGGGGGAACTCGACGTGAAAGAAGATCGACAGGACAACACTGTGCGCGAAGATGTACTTAGTCTCGTACTCTCCTATACCTATATCCCCCTTGTTTTTTTTTAGAATTTTCGTTTATATTGAATTCCAAGAGGATATTTAAAAACCAAATTTAGGTTCTAGGGGAGTGTACCTACTCTCCCTACTGTACGTGCTAGTGCCCTGGACGCAATGCGCTGCCTCTTCTTGCGGTTAACCCTTGCAAGGCAAACTAATCACGCCAAGTGCCTACTGGAACTCGGCACTGGTATTCAGTAGGAGACTGGTGACTGCAGTGCGTATTGCTACATGGGTGTTGATCGAAAGGTCCTTGCAAGGAAATGTAGAAAGTCGTGCGAAAGGCGCGTGCAAGTCTGACATATCCCTGGAAGGACCCAGCCCTCCCTGGACCCCTCAATCCTGAACTCCATCCTCCGTCCAACCACTAAACCCTAAACCCCAAAAACCCTAAACCTTAAAAATGCCTCTTGAGCACTCACATCCGTAGACACAAGAGAAACTCCAGGACCGTACCCAAATGTAGTACCTTTGTGGCTAGCATACTAGAACCCCCATTAATAACTAACACAAAACGGAACTACATCGGAGCCTTTTGAACTTTGGGTACGCTTTCTGAATTTCAGAGGTGACCGTGATTACGCATGCTAAATAAAGATCCCAAGGAGGGTATTTCATTGTCATATACAATTGTAGCGTATTCTGACTTGTTAAATGTCGATGGATGCTTTGACACTATGATGCATTATAGCGTATTGTATATACTACTTCCATGTCATTCTCGTCAATGGCGAAAGAAGCTCCGAGTTTGAACCCGCTGGGATCAAACCAAAAAACTTTTTGGAACAACCCACTCTGCAGATGTCTCAACAGAGTACTTACTTGTACGTACTGAAAACTCCAATCATAACTGTACTTTTTAAGCTCCCTAATTCAGTCCTCTCAGTAGGTTAAGTAGACTTATAGTTGGGGGGGGTTTTAAGTACCCATGAACCTCCCTTGGTATAACGTGCGCGTGCTTTATGAAGTGATGCAGTCCGACAGAGAGCAAACCCTCGGGTTTTACGGTTTAGGGTTGATAGGGTTTAGGCCTGCTGAAGCAAAAAGGGTTTAGGCCTGCAAAGCCGCGATCAGTCTAGAAAACGCTTGAGCGCGGTTTGCGAAGTCATACACAAGCACTCGTGATGCTAGTTTCTTCTAGATAAGGATGCCACCACCAGACGGAAATCAAGATTTCTGAGAGGCGCCTGGAGCAGTTTCCAAGAAAACTTCAAACTTCAATGAGACCTGGCAGGGCAAAGCTTATATTCTCACAGCTCAGGCAAGGCAGGATCCCCTTAAAGGCACCCCCAAAACAGGTACCCCTATGCAAAGGTCGGATCTACCCCCCTGGTCCTTTGGGGAATCGGGTTTAGGGTTTAGGGTTTAGGGCCAGGCAAGCATATTGCGTGCAAGTGGAGCATGATGCTGTCAAATCGCCGTGTTGTATCAAGGCAGCATACCGAAACTCCACGGCGTATCTGCCAAGTTCCATGATCCGCCATGAAACTTGTGGGCTTATGGGCCATTGGTTTCCTGGCATCCCTGCTGCAGACGCTGAGTGACAGATTTGCCGTCACTTCCGAGGAGAGCGAGAGCTCCTGGGCTGATGCCCCAGGGTTTAGGGTTTAGGGTTTATAGAAACTCCAGTTCACCAACCCTCAAATGGGATACTAGGACTCAGAGTAGGTCCGTATTCCCTTTTTAGGTAGGTCCCGTAAGGGTGTGATTTTCTCCCTTAGACCAAAACGGGCACCCTTTCTATTCCTAACAAACTCTTGTGTCCTGTTCTGCTTTCCCTTACTGGACCCAAGAGGGTCAGCGGCTTGAACCTAGCCACCGTGTCGGAGACCTTGTGCAGAGCATCAAGAGCACTGTTGGTCCTGCGAAGAAGAAGGGATTTATAAACTTCCTAAACCCGAAACCTGTCCGCTGTGCAAAGAGCTTGCAACACAGAGGCGTCGCTACATCACTCCTGCAGACCGAGCTTCAGCGCTTGCGCTCTCCCAAGCTCCCTGGAGAAAACGTTGCAGAGGGTTTGGGGTTTAGGCTGCAGGGGATTGATCGAAGAGTATCGGCCCTTGTTGTAAATCTCCGCTCTGAGTAGTAGATTCCTCATGGCAAGCTGAAGAGTTTCACCCGGTGGACGCCAAGACAGCGGCTGGCTTTTAACCCGAAAACCCAAACCCTCACCCTAAAGCCCAAACCCTGAACTAGTCGCATACAGTTCCGAGCCCCCCCGAAGTGCCAACTCCGCTTGGCGCGCCGCAAGTGGAGACCGGTGGATTTTACTAAACCCTAAACCCTAAACCCTAAACCCTAAACCCTAAACCCTAAACCCTAAACCCTAAACCCTAAACCCTAAACTTGCCTCGCCCGCTTATGCCAGTGTGAGAGTCGAAACCCTAAACCCTAAACCCTAAGCCCTAAACCCTAAACCCTAAACCCTAAACCCTAAACCCTAAACCCTAAACCCTAAACCCTAAACCCTTAACCCTTAACCCTAAACCCTAAACCCTAAACCCTAAAGGCACGCTTGAGCTTTCAGGTGCTATCCCCTACAGGCGGTCCATAGTGGGGAGTCCACAAATTGTATGCGGGGGGTGGCATTAAGGGGTGGTTCCATGCAGGGTCCAGAGAAGAGTTGCACATTATTGGGTGCAGTGGGGGTTATGGCTCAAGCAAAGCAAGTCCGTCGGGGTCGGCAGGAGGTCCAGAGGTCATAGGCGGAGGGGTACCTAAACATGCAAATTCAGTCAAATGCCGGACAGTACATTGGGGTTGACGGGTTTTTAGGGCGAACGCAAGGTTTGGGGCCTCGAGACAGATGTTGATCAACCCCCACTTGTGGAAGCCCTGAGGTTTGCCACGCGAGCTGACGTTTGCACCGACACTGTACCCGTGACGGGCTCTGCCAGGGGCCTTCCTGCGATTGGATACATCGCATGCTGCCACGTCCTCAGTTCGTGCACTCGAGATGCTGTGGAACGTGAGGCAAGTCAAGCGTAGTTCCACAGACTGCTCAAGGCTCGCCCGAAGATGTGAAGCCTGCCAACGTTCGTCCAGGTGTTGCGAGGTGCGGATGGGAATGTGCGGTGGCAGCGCACGTCAGATCTCCTGAAGCCCGCCCGAAATGCCCCAAAGAAGGCCAAATGCAGGCTCTTTCGACCGGGATACGGTAGTTCTCTAAATTCGGTCCCTGCACAGTACGGCACCTTGTTGGCAATAATTAATCCCCAAAAGGGATCCGGACCCTCAAAACCTAATGTAGAGAACTACGCATGTGACAAACCCTAAACCCTATAAACCCTAAACCCTAAACGCCCGGGGCCACTAGATAGCGAGGGAGGGGCGCGGTGCGGCGGGCAAACTAGCGATGCCGGCTGCGGCCAGAAGACACGGAAGAACCATCGAGCAATCAGCTGACAGAGCCGCTTCAAGCTTAATTACACCCTAAGTCTCTATAAGCCCCAAACCCAGGCTGTACCATGCTGCGCACCCTGTGCCGAATCACCCAGCGACCTCCCAAGAGCTGCCCCAAGCTGCTTTCACATCCTTCTTCAAGCTTGGACACGGCTTAAAGTTTCTTTTGAGGCACGCACAAAGCGGGGACGTTCTGCCCAGAAGTTCGGAAGTGACCTAAGCCGCCTGTGAATAACCCAATCACTTACCGCCAAAGTCAAGAAAGCTGGCGGGGGGGGGGGGGGGGGGGCGTATCAAGTAAAATGAAGTGCACAACTTTCGGAGTTCCCTTCCCCTGTCCCAGCGACGTGCCGCCTACAGATGCACAATGCAACAAGTAAGCCTGAACCCTAAACCCGTGCATGCAAATGTGGGCGAGGTACTTGGCTGCTGGTGGCCGCCGTGTTGTCACAGCTCCCTGCGCCTTGGCAGTGTCGATGAAAACTCCACCCAAGAGATGGCTGCCCGGTTTAGGGTGCCGGGTTTGGGGTTTAGGGTTTAGGGGTTAGGGTGCCTTCGCAATAAGATTGTGTAGAAATGACATGACACTACAGTAGCAGAATGCCCATCTCATTGTAGAAATGACATAAAACCATAGCAACAGTATGCCCATATTCAGATAGTAATGAACCACATAGCCTATAGCCTATAGCCTTGACCAGGTTACGGCAATGAGCATGCTGTGGGACAAGGCCTTCGAGACTCTGGTGTTCCGAGGGAGCACATATGGGCACCCCGCCTCAGCTTTGCCGGGTTTAGGGTTTAAAGGTTTAGGATTTAGGGTTGCGGGGCGGGGGGGGGGGGGGGACCCGCCGTATTCCCCCCTATACACCCCCCCTTATACCCAGACGTGTGTCGGGCGAACAGGTCACAACAGCGTTGGATCCTCCGGACGAGGCGCTGCAGAATCCCCGGCACTGGGCCGCGGGGCAGGTGGATGCAAGCCTCCATCGGCTGAATGTGAGTTACGTTGATGCTTCCTGACCCATGCCTAGCAGACTTTGTTCGTGGCAAGTCTTGATGGCCCTGTTGAGGTTTCTAGAAGATTTGCTTGATGTTATTACCTGCACTACTGAGGATATGTATCTCCATTGGGGTCTTGAGAATGAATACAAAACGAAGATCTCCCTGGCGAATGTAACGAAGGAGCAATACGTGGAGCTCCTTGGTGACTGCATGAATATTATGGAAGGTTTATGGTCCATGTACTTGAATAGGGATTAGCCCTAAACCCTAAATCCTAAACCCCAAACCCTAAACCCTAAACCCTAAACCGAGAGGTCAGCTAAGCGGGTGGCAAAACCCCTAAACCCTAAACCCTAAACCCTGGACCCTAAACCCTAGACCCTAGACCCTAAACCCTAAACCCCAATTATTGTAGTGTTCGATCCTGAAGGCTGGGGGAGCAATACTTGGAGCTGTACCGGGGTCTCATCGATGCTCAGCGGGCCGGAAAGGTTCGCCACATTGGTGCTGCTCAGCAGCACCAAGACTTCCTTGGGGACCAAGTGAGCCCTTGAAGGGTTTAGGGTTTAGGGTTTAGGGTTTGGGGTTTGGGGTTTGGGGTTTAGGGTTTAGGGTTTAGGGCTTCAAGACTTCCACCAAGACTTCCTTGGGAGTGAGCCCTTGAAGGGTTTGTGGGGCCGTGTGCCGTCATTGGGATTCTAGGCATGATAGCAGAAAAGGTATAAGACCCCCCACAATGTTGGGGTTCATGTGGTCCCCAAGGTTCGAAATTCCGCAACACACCCGGTTTTGACTTGGCTGAGTACAGGTTGGCGTCCACACGCAGAAGGAAATCGAATACCTGATGAACGCCACAGGACCGCCTGTGTCGTAGGTTTGCCACACTGTCCCATCCCCCCATGTTTTTGGGACACGCGGTTGAAAGGGGCATCTTGCAGGCCCTAAATCCTAAACCCTAAACCCTAAACCCGAAACCCACTGACTCGACTCCAGATAGCCCAGGAGTGAAGCCGGACATCATGCACGGATGGATCACACCCTTCATGCCCGAGAAGCAGCTGAGTTTTGCCAAGTGGGCCATGAACCAGGGCATGACTTTATCTGCTTCTTGGTCTGCAGTTGCCCTGCATCGCGCAAGGTTTAGGGTTCTGGGTTCTGGGTTTAGGGTTTAGGGTTTAGGGTTTAGGGTTTAGGGTTTAGGGCCTAGGACTTTAGGAGAAGTGAGTTCCTTTGCAACGAGGCCTGGGGGCCCTACAACTGGGATTCCTTGGATGAGCCCGCCGAACTTGAATCGCACAGGCCTTTGCGACAGTGAGTCATTGGAAGGGTAGTGGTTTAGGGTTTGGGGTTTGGGGTTTGGGGTTTAGGAGGGTTTAGGGTTTAGGGTTTAGGGTTTAGGGTTTAGGGTTTAGGGTTTAGGGTTTAGGGTTTAGGGTTTAGGGTTTAGGGTTTAGGGTTTAGGCTGCTTATCTGAATGGCACATGCAGATCAATTACCAGCGAGCTCGCGAAGAAGTACGGCGCAACTGCTTCTCAGCTGCTTGGCTGCGGGATGCCGTGTATGGAGGATGGTAGGGAGGCTTCGGTTCCGCTGGAATCCTCCCCGCAAGTGGAGTGTGCTTTCCTGGGGATTTTGGTCAAAGACTGGCCATTTCTCAGGTTCTTCGCTTCAGGTTCTGCGCGGGGGCCCTTTGACTGCTGGCATAAACCCCCTATCTCCCTAAACCCCGAATTGGGATCCTTATGATAATAGAATCCTTCTCTTTGGGGTCTTTTTTAGTGGCCCCTGTTGCCTAAAACCGTGCTTTGCAACCGCATTGTCTTCGACCAAGCGAGGATCGTAGCCCGGTGGTACTTGGACAAGGGCATTGCCATGTGCACAAGCATGCTGGAGCCGCCCCTCAGTCGCACCTGCAAGTTAGGGTTTAGGGTTTAGGGTTTAGGGTTTAGGGTTTAGGGTTTAGGATTTCCAGATGCAGAAAGGATTTGAAGTCAAAACGGGCACCCTTTATGCCTAGGCTACTCTTGAGGCTCCTTCAAGTGCTTCTTATAGGAATTGTAGCAAAAAGGGGTTTAGCCCCTAAATCCTAAAACCTAAACCCCAACTTTGGGGTTGACGTGTAGCTCCCATCTGCGGCCTTGCGAAAGCTTTGATCTAGGGTTGGAACCATGGGTCCCTTACCCTTGTTTATCTACTATTTGCTTAAGAACTCCAAATAAAAAATAGAAATCCCTATATGACCCTTATAGGGAAGGTGTATATATATATACACACTTGTTTTATATTTATCTGTTTCCTTTTTTTTCCGGGGGGGGGGGGGGGCTCTTAAGCAATTCATACTTCTGGGTATATAGTGTACATAAGGGTATTAGGTAATATCGCCAGGGGGCCCAAAATCATAGTGTACATAAGGGTATTAGGTAATATCGCCAGGGGGCCCAAAATCAAAAAAAATCAAAGGCCCCAGGTTCGACTCCCCTTTTAGTTTCAGTGGCCTGCAGGTCTTACGTCAAGGACGACTTGCACTGCCTCCGCTCTTCGCTGAGTGCAGAAGACACGGCGCTCTTAGAAAGTGTCAAGTGGGACTGCCAGAAGACAGACTTCTTTCAGCCACTGCCGGGATGCTCCGAGGACTAGCATGGGTTCAAGGAAGATGGGCTTGGGGTGAGGGTTTAGGGTTTAGGGTTTAGGGTTTAGGGCCAGCTTCCTGCAGTTTTGCCGCTGCCCTCCGAAGTAGGCGTGGCTTTAGCAGGGTACATCTGTGCCAATTCGTGGCCGTGTTCCCTATGCGCCCACAGCCGGCGTCTTGCGTGAAAAGCCCGCCAATGCTCCTGTGAACTGTACATAAACACGGTCTGCCTGACATAAACAACAGCAAGGACTAGGCAGTACAGGGCTTGTGGCATGCGAGTTCCGCCTTACTGTTCATGCAAGCTGCAAGACAATGTAACACAAGTCGAACCTTCTGATACCGCCTGTGCAGCCAATCGCGTTGCAAGCAGTCACTTAGCTGATGGTTGAGCGTTGGTCAACGCTGTTGGGCCGGATTACCACATCGAGCAGAGCCCTAATAGACCATGCGCGGATGAGTCTAAACAAAAACAGGTCAGTCGAATCAGATCTTCCAGCATCACTGGTCCAGCCTTGCAAAAGCAGGCAGGACTGTGTATAGCACTTGATCTGAGGACCTGCCGAGCCCATGTAGGAAGTCTCACCTCCGCGTGTGCGCGCCGCGCGGGTTCGGGTGGGTGTGGGGTGTGGGGTGTGGGTCGACTGGGTGGCTGCTACACTCGACTGGGTCGTCTGCGAACCTGGCCCTGTGTATCCGAAGAGTTCAGTTTGCTTTTCATGTTACGGAACGATTTTCTGCACGTGAACGCGGCATCCTGTTGCGCGGGCGAACTCAAAACTAACACCTGCACGTTTGCAAGCCGAACCCACCACATTACAAGCCAACTTGACAATAGCTGCTTGGAGGTTCGGGGTACCTAGTAACCCAAGTGTACTTATAACACAATTTCAACCCCATAAGGGTACTTAAGGGGCTTATGATTGGGTTATCGTACCCTGAACCTCCAAGCAGCGTACTTGTTCGACCATATGCTGCCAGACATCTTTGCACAGTTCAGATAACCACCCTAAACCTTAAACCCTAAACACGGCCGTGGTCATCGGACATCGCGCCACGTGCTGGAAGCTGCTGCCCGTGCCATGTCTGGCCATTGCGGAGGACTGGTCATGACTGTTATATCTGATACCCCAAAATCCCTAAACCCTAAACCCCCAAAACCTCCTGATATCCTAGCCTACTTTTCGTGCTCTTGCATAGCAAGACCCTCGAGGATGGCACGGCAGAGAGAGAGAGAGAGATAAACCCGAAAAAAACCTCATTCCGGCTCTAGAACCATATTCAACTCATCATTTGGCAGCACCAGGGTTGAAAAGGTAGAGGTTGGGAGATAGGGTGCTTTTTGTTTGAGTTTACGGGGCTGAATCACTTTGTTGAGACGACCCTTTCTAAACCCAAAACCCAAAACCATTAGCCCGAACTGGAAATGCTCTTTTGGAAAGCGAGTACAGCTCAAGGACCCCGGCTTCTAACCTCGTGGCATCTGGCTGTCGAGGAGTGAAAGCTTCTCGGCGTTCTTAATCCTAAGCCCTAAACCCAAAATGCTGTTTCCGAGGGCTTTGGGATAGGTCCCGTCCCAGAGCGGGGTTGACGAACCCGACATGGCTATGTGCCAGTTATGCATACCTTTGGGAACCAACTGAACCTGAAGTTTTGGGATAACAGTATAGTCCCTAGTCAGGTATACGAACCATACACGTGTAGGGATATTTATGCAGCAGCACTGAGTGCATTGGGTCTGCCACGAAAATATGTGCGACATGCATCCAGCCCCTGTTCGTGCCATGTGCTGCTCATCCCCTAAACCCTAAACCCTAAACCCTATATACCATAAACCCTAAACCCCAAACCCTACACGCATGTGTTCGGCCGTGCTTTAGCACTCTTGCGTGGCAGGAGCCCACTCGCTTTGGCATGATGCCACGCGGCTTTCCGCTTGGCTTGGTGCAGAGCATCCTGACGGCCAGGTGGGAGGCGAGTGCTTGGTGTAGGCGGATTTCTATTGAAGTGGCGGCTGAGAGCCTGTAGGATTAACGGAGCCGGAGAGCCTGTGACCACATTCAGCCAGCCAGCTATGTTAGCTGTTGGGCCAGTTTAGGCTTAGACATTGCACAGTCCGTCCAGAATGCTCAGCTACATCTCCGCCCAAGCGTCAGCGTGTGCAGAGACCCCATTCCTCGAATCAACGTGAATATGCTGCAGCAGAACTGCGGTGGCACTTTGCGCCGGGAGTGAATGGCATCTGACTCGAGCTCTACGAGCTCGCGCTAGAGGCAAAGCACGGAAGGCACCCAAAGCACGATCTTAGCACTTCGCTGCTGCCTAAGCCTCGTTGCAGGGTGTGCGAGCGCTTAGAGAGCTTAGAATGGGCTGAAGGGTCCGCCCTTCGCTGATTGGGGGGCCTGGGGGGCAACTCATACGCGGGATCGTGGGAGAAAGCGCTGACACAGGGTGTCTCGACACGGTCAGCAGGGCCCCCACTCAACCATGAAGTTCCTGAGTCTCTACTCGTCTGAACAGTGCGAGCGGCTCCTAGCCTGCACAGTGCAAGATGCGACATGATGCAAGTCGGAGCACGAAGCAGGCGATGGCCATCAGGCAGAGGACGCGCAACCGCTTGTCAACCCCTCGATGCAGTTCGCCAGCTCTCATTGCAGAGATGCGTCAGACCGTGCGCGAGCGAGGAGGCAGGGGATTTCAAGCCTGCTCCCATGTCCTCCTGCTTCTGTGATTGCCATATCTGTGTGCTGGACCACCTTCGCATTGCCTTAAGTGTGGCTCGTCACCGAGCGGGAAGGCCGCCTCCCATCGTTGCTGTCCACGTGACTGTAGTTTACGAGCCATGTCGCCCAGGCTTTTGAGGCCCTTGATGAAGTCACAGTCTGCGTCTCGAGTGCTGCTCCTGCTTTGAGAAGAGCCATGCAGGCCCAAAGAAAGGCCATGATCGCCCCCGAGATCTGGCCCTGTGCTGACATCGTGCTGCTGGCCACAGCTGGGTGCCCAGGAGCTGCTTTGATGGTTGACACTAATTGCATACGCATGATCGACGCTCGTTGCAGAGCCATACTTATGGCGGCAGGGACCAGCTGTCCACCGGCGCCTCGGCGCTGCAGTGCGAGTCAAGTGCACTCGCACGCAGACAGGGATCGTTGTCATATGCTCCTCACTTGAGCGATGCTGTGCTACTGAGCATTCCTCTTGCGCCTCCCTCTTGCAGGTTTTGCCGGGCCTTCTCTAGCTCAATGATGGCGAGCTGACCGTAGATCCCCCCAAAATGACCTTAAACATGCACGAGCTCACCTGATTTGTGCTCAATGAGAGGTCCTCCCAACTTGTCCAAGCACCCCAAAACCCTTCCCTGCCCCTCGTCTGCATCCATCCGGGTGCTCGTCGGTGGCTTCGGCGTGCGAATCGGAGGCGGCTTCGCGGAAGCAGGACGCGGGAGAACGCCCGTTTGAGCGTAATTTCCAGCGCCCGGAGGGATTCGAACCTTACTAGACATTTCAGCCGCACAGCAGACTCACAAAACTTGTGACTTGGAAGTCGGAAAGGGATAGGGCGGGGGGGCCTCCCATGCTGAGGTGGGATTCGAGTATCAGACCTGGCGATTGCTAACTCAATGCTTCATCCACGAGGCGGCCCTACGCAGTGTGTGCGTGCCTGCAGTGAAGGCTCCGCAAAACCAAGTTTCTGCGCCGGGGGCCGGGCGGCAGCTGGGGAGGTACGGAAGGGGGCGGGAAACCGAAACCAATTCACAACCAGAGTCCAAGAAGAGTGCAAAGGTCTCCAAGAAGTTCTGGAGATGTCTGAGGTGGGGGGCCTCAGTGTGCAGGGAAGAAGGGGTTTTAGGGTTTCGAACTTAGGGGGTTTCACATTTGACCAACCCTAACTGCAGGCCGCTTCTTCCATGTCCGTGGGTTTAGACATTACATCTTGTAGAGTCAACTTCAGAGTCGCTCTTCCTTTCAAGGACGACTCTGCTCTAAGCCAATGTAAACCGAATCCGTTTTCCAGCTTAGCGAGTCGAGGCGGGGTCGCGCATTGGTTGAAAAGTAATACAAGCTCACCCAAGGGTTAGCCTAGATTCGTTCGCCGAAATTTTATTCTGATGCAGCCAGTGCTTTGTTATGAGTATCCTTGCAAGTGGATCAGCAGCAGGATGTGCCCACAACCCTCGGCAAGGGAAGCCGGGTGACATCATGCTTTGATGCTAGGATGTCATCAGGCGCCTCACTCCCGTGCAACCTTCATCTCGCCATGACCACCATGACACAGCGTCTGGCTAAACTCATACACCGCTCCCGCTTCAAGAGCTGTCGGGGTGCCCTCTCCATTTGTGGCTTGCCGACACCCGAACAAAGTGACTGAGCTAGTTCTTCAAGAGCTGTATCAAGACGTTGCCCTGATCTCAACACTTGAAGCCTAGGCGTCTAGATGTTCAGAGCACTCGCCCGGTGAATTGCTGCACGGTGGCATATGGCCGCGCGCCAATGTTAATTGCTTGTCACAGGGTCGTGGCCCAACGCGACATACCCCGCTACATAGGGCATGTATCAACGCCCGGGGTTTCGCGACAGACCTTCTTGTTGTTGTCTTGTTTTGCACGGCCCCCTTGTAGCTTCCAGTCGTGCATGCGCGCGCGACAGAGGTTTGTATCAAGACGGGCGGTACATAGGTCTGTAGCAGATGGGTGCGCGCGCGGTCCGCGACAACCGGGGGTTCTGGCACACGGCCATATGTGTGCGCTTGTCACGACTTCCATAGAGGGTGGTTCTTCGCCCTTTGAGACCCCAGCGCATTCCGGCGTAAGTCGGGATCAAGCACGCAAAAGGAACGAACAAAGGCCTTAAGGTCTAAAAGCCTCCCAGGTGCCGGCTCGACGAATGTTGCTTCGAAGTCTTTTGGGTGCAAAGGTTTCTGAGACCTTAGCTCGCCTTGGGGCCGCGAGGCCCATTGTCACAATACTCTGCTGCAGATCTTCCCGAGGCTTTCCGGCCCGAAGGCTGCG